GTGAAACCAATCGATATCGAAATGTGACGTGAAACCCCTAGATATCAATCTGGGAAGTGAAACCCCTCGATATCACAGTGACGTGAAACCCTTCTGTTTCAAAGTGTGACGTGAAACCCTTCGATATCAAACTGTGTTGTGAAACCCCTCGATATCAAACTGTGATGTGAAACCCCTCGATATCACAGTGGCGTGAAACCCTTCTATTTCAAAGTGTGACGTGAAACCCCTCGATATCACACTGTGATGTGAAACCCTTTGAGTTCAAATTTTGACGTGAGACCCCTCTATATCAAATTGTGACGTGAAACACCTCTGTGTCAAACTCTGACGTGAAACCCTTTGAGTTCAAATTGTGACGTGAAACCCCTCTATATCAAAGTGTGACGTGAAACCCCTCGATATCACACTGTGACGTGAAACCCCTCGATATCAAACTGTGACGTGAAACCCCTTGATTTCAAACTGTGACGTGAAACCCCTCAATATCACACTGTGACGTGAAACCCCTCGATATCAAACTGTGACGTGAAACGTCTCGATATCAAACTGTAACGTGAAACCCCTCGATATCAAACTGTAACGTGAAACCCTTTGAGTTCAAATTGTGACGTGAAACCCCACGATATCAAACTGTGACGTAAAACGTCTCGATATCAAACTGTAACGTGAAACCCCTCGATATCAAACTGTAACGTGAAACCCTTTGAGTTCAAATTGTGACGTGAAACCCCACGATATCAAACTGTGACGTAAAACGTCTCGATATCAAACTGTAACGTGAAACCCCTCGATATCAAACTGTAACGTGAAACCCTTTGAGTTCAAATTGTGACGTGAAACCCCTCGATATCAAATTGTGACGTGAAACCCCTCGATATCAAACTGTAACGTGAAACCCCTCGATATCAAACTGTAACGTGAAACCCTTTGAGTTCAAATTGTGACGTGAAACCCCTCGATATCAAACTGTGATCTGAAACCCCTCGATATCAAACTGTAACGTGAAACCCTTTGAGTTCAAATTGTGACGTGAAACCCCTCGATATCAAACTGTGATCTGAAACCCCTCGATATCAAACTGTAACGTGAAACCCTTTGAGTTCAAATTGTGACGTGAAACCCCTCGATATCAAACTGTGATCTGAAACCCCTCGATATCAAACTGTAACGTGAAACCCCTCGATATCAAACTGTAACGTGAAACCCCACGATATCAAACTGTGATCTGAAACCCCTCGATATCAAACTGTAACGTGAAACCCCTCGATATCAAACTGTGACGTGAAACGTCTCGATATCAAACTGTAACGTGAAACCCCTCGATATCAAACTGTAACGTGAAACCCTTTGAGTTCAAATTGTGACGTGAAACCCCTCGATATCAAACTGTGATCTGAAACCCCTCGATATCAAACTGTAACGTGAAACCCCTCGATATCAAACTGTAACGTGAAACCCCTTGATATCACACTGTGACGTGAAACCCCTTGATATCTAAATGTGAAGCGAAACCCCTCGATATCACACTGTGAAGCGAAGCCCCTCGATATCACACTGTGACGTGAAACTCCTTGATATCAAACTGTGACGTGAAACCCCTCGATATCAAAACTGTGACGTGAAACTCCTCGATATCAAACTGTGACGTGAAACCCCTCGATATTAAAACTGTGACGTGAAACACCTTGATATCAAACTGTGACTTGAAAACCCTTTTTGGAAAGACTGGATAACGTTCAGGTACGAACGAGATATCAATGTATTCACAGGTCAGGCTAGAAATGAACTTCAACGTGGTACACAGATCTGCGCCACATCTGAACATTCTGATGTTCTCAAGAAATATGGCACTTAGGCACCCATACATGTACATGGTAAACTTGTAACAAGTCAACCAAGTTTTCAGGCGACATGGCAGTGTCCAGGGACGAAGCCCCAATGGGTGGTCTTGGAGCCAAGCCCTCCTGAAGCTGTCGGATTTTAGTTTATCCGAAATATATTTTCTAATTACACCCACACTTTTTATTCAACAAAAAAAATGAGAAATTGCAATAATAATTTTTGTGAACAATAATTGCTGTTTCGGGTGTATGAATAAGCATGCAAGCATACATTAATGCTGCGCCATTGCAAGGCCTTCATCCCCCGCCCCTGGTGGTGGCTGCACGGTCTGGTACAGAATCATGGCCATTTGGTTCCTAGCTCACCGCTACAGCATATATTACATGTGCTACAATACTGTTTTACATAACAATATACAATTATTTATAGATACAAAATGTACCATAAATCTGTACGAGTCAGTATGAACGTTATAACTGTCTAACACCAAAACAGAGATATTCTTTTTTAAGTTCACACCTCGCAAGTGGCAAATATTCGTGTGCTTTTCTAAACTTATCCGTTTCACTGAGACCGAGTCAGGTCATGTGTTTTGTATTCATCAGGATTTGAAGATTAAATCCATATTTTGTAACAATGATGTGAAGGACATACTCCTTTCCTTTCCTTTTAATATGACATCCCTTCGATGTTAGAAAAAAAAAACGTTCTCTTACGTGCCTGCTTATAAGTCCATCCGTTCGTTGACGTCATAATTATCAACGTATCTAGATTATAGGGACTTGATGCAGGTAATATATAATTAGTTTTAGCATGCTTCTACAGACATACATCGGCGACCAGCTATGACTTAGGGTGGAACTACGAACATCTGCCGCATTTATTAACACAACAGCACTGCACAAATGTACGTTGTTATTTTAAGCATTAACATGGTTTATGAGGATGTTCTCTGGAGAAGGTCTGATTCTTACCTTCTTCGATGTCTTCTGGAAGTCATTCAATAAATACAAGAAGACTAAAAGGCATTCCAGAATGCTTAGCGTCTTCTGCTTTATCGATGGCATCCACTTTGTAAATTGTCACTTCAAGTAAGCAATGTCACGTTCTCAAACGGAAAGCAGTTTTTTTTTAAATCCTCTGACATACTTACGAACATCGAACAAATCTACCATCATCATCACACATAGAAATAGACACATTCCCATTGAGATTATGAAGGTTACATTTTAACTTTCTTATCATTTTCATCTAAATACATCTGTTGATGCTATTTTCGTCAACAATTCCAAAAAGGTAACGCGGCTTTGAACCTGAATGTACAGTTAGATTACAAAATTTGCTAATAATATTAGATACATGTATTTGTTGAGACACGAACTGTAATATTTGGTTTCCGACAAATACAAAATCTTTAACGGATCATTTCAGTCAACAGTTGTATAATTACTGAAAAAAAAAACATCGTGAATAAGAAGGTATTCTGTATTTCAAAATGAAACATGTAAAAAAAAAAATTCGGGTCAGACAAGTAAGTCAGGATTACAGGGTTCGAGTCCTAGCGGAGGCATTGAAATAAATAAGTCTCCGTTACAACCTCATTATCTGAAGTAATTTTCAATTAACTTTTTAATAAGGAAATGTAGTGAGAAACTAACCAAGATGCAATATATTTGTATTACTTTCCATTTGATCGCGAGACCGAGAAAAGCACACTGTAAATAGCTTATCCATTGACAGTAACGCTAATGGTAGGTCATACAGTATAAGGGAGATAACTCTAACAGAAACTCGTTCAAACGGCAGGGACCAACAATGATAATAAATAAAGTGACGTATATACGTCAGTATGTCCAATACAATTATACATCTGCAGTTTGCAAATTCTACGCTCTTTTAAAAGCTTTGTATTTTTTACACAACATTTAATGTTTCGTTGTTGGGACATATTGCTTCAAAAACATGACAGCGTCCTTGTCCGTACTGTCGCTGATGCTTCATTAACCGTTTTAATACAATGTCTGGCAAATACGCCAAACCAACAACCGTTGACTGTTGCTACGCCAAAGCTGTGCCGCCGATTAGATAAACTATACATTACATCACTAGTGCGCTCCATAATTTGCACTGAAACGTAATTTCTGCCTGTATTGAAAACCATGATATGCTTTGTTTTCACATTTCACCAAGAATGTTACCCGATTGAAATAGCCCACACAAGTTGTTTACTGTTGTGTACAAACGGCAGCTGTTTGTCGGAATGTGTCAATTAAACGAACATCAAGCGACAGGAAAAAGACCAGCAATATAAAGACATAAAGTACTAAATAAAGTATGTAATATACACACATCGTAAGTCCGAAGCTACAGTCCAATCAATTGAAAAAATGTAAGTGTATGAAATAACGCTTTTATGATTGACAATTTTTCACGTGTGTAGACCAACGCTGTGACACGGATGTCTTTTAATCATAGGTTGTAATAATCGAAGCTCAAATGTCGCGTCTTCATTAATAATATACAAAGTGTTTGTAGATATCTTATTCTTGACGTAAAAATTCATCAACTAACGACGATTTTGTTCTATGTCCATACCATAGCGTAACGATGGTTTCATTAGACATAATAAATGCCGTCTTCTGAAATCAAAGATATGACTTGAATAAGCGCATTATAATGGTTACGGCAATCCGCGAATAAAGAATTCAACATTTTCTGTGTTGTTGTTTCAATACTGAAAGTTCGCAAACTTTCCACCTCAGGCAACCGAATATCTGTTTCAAGATGACGTCGATACACCATTACGTACAGCCAGTGCGTGGGCCTCTATGTTGATGTTCAGTTACCGTGTTGTTATTTTTACGTTCGAATAAGTTGTATTAACAATTGGTGATATGAATTCTGAGCTATAACAACTTGGCTGTAGGGTTTTTTGGTCATTCTACGACAATGGACAGTTCAGGGTGATAATGGACTGTCCACTTTCCCACGCCACGATCCCAAAGACGATAACATAGTCATTGTTTATAAACCGTGCATACCATAGTGAAAATCTACGTCAGAGTGGAACACGACTTGCCAAAGGCGGATTTAATAAAGACGGTTAGGACTTATAAATTCAAGTTTAACTTGACAACCAGTATTTCGATTCAGGCATGGACACACGGTGGGTAATCCTTATTGTGGTCCTCTTTGGTGGTGCTGTGGAGCTATCAACAGCAGGTAAAATACCAAATTGTTGCCGTTTTGATTATTGAAGCCATACTTGCAAGGCTTTAATTGTACTTCTAGATGGTATGCTCTACTGAAACATGTATATTATTGAGCTTTTTGAGTAAAAAATGGATTAATTAGTTGATTGTATAAATGTTTTGTAACAAGTTGTCGTTTTCGTGCATATATCGTGCGCACACATGTATCTAACGCACAACTGCGTGATAGGACCGCACATTTTGTGCGGTTTGGTAGAAATTGGTGGCTAATATTACGGATTGAAAGTTAAGCGGTAAATTTCTGTTGTTATGACTTAAGAGAGATCATTGGTGTATTAGAATTTATCGGTGATTAGAAAAGTCTTTAATTTATTTAATAGTTTTCGAAATAACACTGGACCCTGCATTAATTAGTCTTTATATCTTATAGTTTCTCACCTCGGAGCTTTGCGTGCGTCGAGTAACAAAAATTATCGGTATATTGGTATATACGTGAAAAGTCCGGATCAACTAGACTTTTAAGATATACCCGAGTATATATTTTCAAAAAAATAATAGAAAAATGAGAGTTATACAGAAGTAATGAAAATGAAAAGTCCTTTCTGATGTCAAATTTACATGTATATAAAATGAGTATCTGTACACTAAGGCTGGTCACATGTGGCATTTCTGTGAATAAAACGCTTTAAATTATGAGTGTTTGCAAAAATTCAGTCTATATCTGAAAGATCTACATATTCTAAATATTAGAAAATATATATCTACAAAAACACGTGTCAAACCTGTAGATTTATAGCTTAATCAGGAGATATACCTAATTGTACTCATATAAAGTTAGAAAATAAATAAGCCTTATTCCACACTTATCTACAAATCATTTCGAAATTTATATCTTGCGAACGTCAGTAAGATCTTTCGTCTGCCCTGGAACGAGCGAGTTTGTCTGCATTAGAGTGAAAATAACTTCCAGGAGCACTAATTGTTTACTACCTCTAGATCTGGTAAAGTGGCATGACACTTGTATAATACAAGTCTATGGCTTTTACAGACGGCGGTGAGGACGATGGGCCGGGCATACCGCCTGCAATTGTTGGTGGCACTGATGCCGCAGAAGATGCGTGGCCATGGCAGGTGCTCCTCCTGTACCGCAATACGTTTTCCTGTGGAGGCACTCTTTTGAACGCCAACACCGTACTCACAGCGGCTCACTGTACCTACCGGGGCAAGTAAGTCATGTGATCTATCACCGTACTCACAGCGGCTCACTGTACCTACCGGAGCAAGTAAGTCATGTGATCTATCACCGTACCTACTGTGCCCCACTGTACCTACCGGGGCAAGTAAGTCATGTGATCTATCACCGTACCTACTGTGCCCCACTGTACCTACCGGGGCAAGTAAGTCATGTAATCTATCACCGTACTTATGTGCCCCACTGTACCTACTGGGGCAAGTAAGTCATGTGATCTAGCACCGTACTTACTGTGCCCCACTGTACCTACCGGGGCAAGTAAGTCATGTAATCTATCACCGTACTTACTGTGCCCCACTGTACCAACCAGGGCAAGTAAGTCATGTGATCTAGCACCGTACTTACTGTGCCCCACTGTACCAACCAGGGCAAGTAAGTCATGTGATCTAGCACCGTACGTACTGTGGCTCTCTGTACCTACCGGAGCAAGTAAGTCATGTGATCTATCACCGTACGTACTGTGGCTCTCTGTACCTACCGGAGCAAGTAAGTCATGTGATCTAGCACCGTACTTACTGTGCCCCACTGTACCAACTAGGGCAAGTAAGTCATGTGATCTAGCACCGTACGTACTGTGGCTCTCTGTACCTACCGGAGCAAGTAAGTCATGTGATCTATCACCGTACTTACTGTGCCCCACTGTACCAACTAGGGCAAGTAAGTCATGTGATCTATCACCGTACTTACTGTGTCTCACTGTACCTACCGGAGCAAGTAAGTCATGTGATCTATCACCGTAGTTACTGTGGTCCACTGCACCTACCGGGGCAAGTAAGTCCTGTGATCTATCACAGTACACACAGCGGCTCACTGTACCTACTGGGGCAAGTAAGTCATGTAATCTATCACCGTACCTACTGTGCCCCACTGTACCTACCGGGGCAAGTAAGTCATGTAATCTATCACCGTACTTATGTGCCCCACTGTACCTACTGGGACAAGTAAGTCATGTGATCTAGCACCGTACTTACTGTGCCCCACTGTACCTACCGGGGCAAGTAAGTCATGTAATCTAGCACCGTACTTACTGTGCCCCACTGTACCAACCAGGGCAAGTACGTCATGTGATCTAGCACCGTAATTACTGTGCCCCACTGTACCAACCAGGGCAAGTAAGTCATGTGATCTAGCACCGTACGTACTGTTGCTCTCTGTACCTACCGGAGCAAGTAAGTCATGTGATCTAGCGCCGTACGTACTGTGGCTCTCTGTACCTACCGGAGCAAGTAAGTCATGTGATCTATCACCGTACTTACTGTGCCCCACTGTACCAACTAGGGCAAGTAAGTCATGTGATCTAGCACCGTACGTACTTTGGCTCTCTGTACCTACCGGAGCAAGTAAGTCATGTGATCTAGCACCGTACGTACTGTGGCTCTCTGTACCTACCGGAGCAAGTAAGTCATGTGATCTAGCACCGTACGTACTGTGGCTCTCTGTACCTACCGGAGCAAGTAAGTCATGTGATCTATCACCGTACTTACTGTGCCCCACTGTACCAACTAGGGCAAGTAAGTCATGTGATCTAGCACCGTACGTACTGTGGCTCTCTGTACCTACCGGAGCAAGTAAGTCATGTGATCTATCACCGTACTTACTGTGCCCACTGTACCAACCAGGGCAAGTAAGTCATGTGATCTAGCACCGTACGTACTGTGGCTCTCTGTACCTACCGGAGCAAGTAAGTAATGTGATCTATCAGCGGTATATTAGTAGCAAACGCTGTTAATAATTTTATGTAGTTACATGTATGTGAATATGATATATATATTATATCAAGCACTTTTATATTTCAAAGGAAAAAGAAGTTCAGGGTAGTTGTCGGAGAATACGACAGAGGTACGAACGAGAAGGATACGAGAGGCGAAAAGAAGTTGAAAGTGAAAAAAATTATCGAGGTAACAACACTACATATAAAACAGTCCCAGAGTCGATAAAAAATGTCATACTGACAAGATTTCACTGTCTATATAAAGGTCATATTGACAAGATTTCACTGTCTATATAAAGGTCATAGTGACAAGATTCCACTGTCTATATAAAGGTCATAGTGACAAGATTCCACTGTCTATATAAAGGTCATAGTGACTGAGTATATAAAGGTCATAGTGACAAGATTTCACTGTCTATATAAAGGTCATAGTGACAAGATTCCACTGTCTATATAAAGGTCATAGCGACAAGATTCCACTGGGTATATAAAGGTCATAGAGACAAGATTCCACTGTCTATATAAAGGTCATAGCGACAAGATTTCACTGTCTATAAAGGTCATAGTGACAAGATTCCACTGTCTATATAAAGGTCATAGTGACAAGATTCCACTGTCTATATAAAGGTCATAGCGACAAGATTTCACTGTCTATATAAAGGTCATAGTGACAAGATTTCACTGTCTATATAAAGGTCATAGTGACAAGATTCCACTGTCTATATAAAGGTCATAGTGACAAGATTCCACTGTCTATATAAAGGTCATAGTGACAAGATTCCACTGTCTATATAAAGGTCATAGCGACAAGATTTCACTGTCTATATAAAGGTCATAGTGACTGAGTAGATAAAGGTCATACTGACAAGTTTTCACTGTCTATATAAAGGCAATAATAACCAATTTTACACTTGAGGTTTTTCATGTATATTTCCAGTTAACTTTTAGCGGGTTTTGATGGTTTTTTTTTTATATCTGTTCCGGTCATACTTGAATTATTTCATTAGCTGACCCTTTTATCGTGTTATATATACGTGTGTATAATGAAGATACTAATATGTCGTTCATTGATACCCTGGTGATGATAATAATTTAGAGTTGTGACGTCATGATGTTGAAAATGCTTTGACACAGTATAAACGGTATTGTAGCATCCTGATTATGACGGCGATGTGCTACACGATCTGGCAATCATGAAGTTGAAAAAACCTGTGACGTTTAATACCTACATACAACCTATTCCTGGATTAGCTGACGACAGCATGGATCTTATGAGCAGTACGTGTTACGTCACCGGTTGGGGAGCATTCAAAGGTATGACTTCGCAAATTGATATTACACAACGAATTATTGTTGTATATCACATTTCTTTCACTCAAATTGGTTATTTTTCAAAAGTTACAAAAAATGCAATCTTGATCTAGTGACTGTTGTAGCTTTGTAAAATACCTAATGAGAGGGAGCAATGTGTGACCTGTTTCTAAAACAACAAAAGTTCCGTACCTGTGTTAGTTTTGTTTACGATATAATTTGGGACGTAATGATATGACCTGAACAGCGATTTAGCAAATTGGTAAGCAAGACTGAGAATTAAAAAAATTATATGGAAATATTATCATTTATTACATGAAATAACTAACAATTAACGGTTTTAATAGTTTCAAAGAAATTATAAAAAGTATACTGAAGTTATTATTTTCTGGTTTTTATTTTAGTTTTTATTTTTCGAGTGCATGAGCCCTTCTTCCAAAACCGTCCTTCATTCACAGGTCAAAGGTCATCATGTCAGTCTATCAAAACGCGTTTAGAGTATATTCATTATGTTATTTGTTTGTTTTGTTTATACAATGTTGTAATTATTTACTTGCGTCTTGGGAGTTGAATTATACATACTTATTGATGTAGAAAGATAGATACGATGACGATCTGATGTTAACGTACTAAAATGTAACACTGACGGTGTAGAACAAATGTCAGTATAGCTACCATGTCTCCCCTGGACCATGGCCGTTAGGGAAACGATAATGAATTCTACTGATATTTTCAGGACCATCAAGCTCGGCCAGAATTCTGCAGGAACTTCAAACGCCCGTGGTGACAAATGCACAGTGCCAGACCGGTATCAACGACGGCTATCTAATCACCGATGACATGATCTGTACCGATTCGGAACCGAAAGGCTCCTGCTATGTAAGTTTTACTAAAATTGGACGAAATGTCCCATTGCATATTAGCAGAGTATCGTGTATTTAAATAGTTCGCTACACCAATTCATCGTGTACCGGCTTCTATCCAAAGTAACTTGTATTACGACAAAAAATGACGACATTTCTATAAAACGCTGTTAAATTGGGTATTTTGTTGCTCTTTATCTAAGTATGAATTGGTATTGAAAGCTCCTTTTCACTGTTAGGCCTTTTGTATGAATCATGTGAATTATATTTTAGAGGTTGAGAAAAGTCTTGTTTCAATCGTGTCGTCATACCATACAACGACTATGAACCATGGATATGAATCGTTTTAATAATTACATGATTTGTCAATATCGCAGATTTTGAGGGTCAGAGTTAGTAAAATATTATTTAACCAAAACATATAAAAACCGATGTTTTAAACTATACCGATATCTGACGGTTCTATTTAACAGGGTGACAGTGGCGGTCCTCTACAGTGCTCTGTAAACGGAACCTGGATACATGCAGGAGCCGTGTCGTGGGGTAATGAGAATTGCCGCGACGGGCCGTCCGTTTACGCAAGGACTTCCTACCACAGGGACTGGATCTTGGCTAACATGTAGACATAGAAACCGAAAAACATAATAGTAATAATAAACCTGAAAAAAAACAACCATCCATCGAGCTTGATATCAACTTCATTTGTTCCTGGCAAATCAAAACCGATCATTTTCCCCCATACGCTTGGATTTACAATCGAGTCCATCCAGTTAAAGTAATCAAAAAACGTTGATCAGTTCACGTATGTCATGTCCATAGCTGTCGGTTTTTACCAGAAATACTGTAGACGTCACACAGAAACAAACCTGTATGAAAATGAAGACCCGTCTGTACATGTGAGTTGTTATTGTGAGTTTTCTATGTTGTCATAGCGACGTCTGATACTTGATGTCTAGGTGATTTTATTTTATATTATTTATAGTGTTATATATCTATATGTTAATAAAATGTTGATTACCTATCAGGTGTTTGGTTATATATTTATGTTCTTGTTTAGTAAGGCATTAAGAGTCCTCCTAAAGTTGATAATGTCGAATCGTCACCACATGACTGTCTATAATGCTTTATTGTCCATATCCAATGTACATTCATGCCATACCAAAGTAACCGGTAAAATTGTGTGTATCAATTTATTTACAAACCAATGGTCAACTCTAACCATGCTTTGTCCACTAACCAATGGTCAACTCTAATCATGCTTTTAACACTAACCAATTGTCAACTCTAACCTTGTTTTGTCCACTAACCAATGGTCAACTCTAATCATGCTTTGAACACTAACCGATGGTCAACTCTAACCTTGCTTTGAACACTAACCAATTGTCAACTCTAACCATGCTTTGAACACTAACCAATGGTCAACTCTAACCATGCTTTGAACAACTGGGGCCTGGTGGGTTATTAATTCACCTCAGCATGCGTCCTGTACAAGTAGTTGGTTGTCCTTGCCAAAGTGGACTTTGCGTGAAAAATCCGGTTTCCGCTGACAATTCTACCTCTACTTATTTGATCTGAGTCATCATTATGTTTATAGTTTTATCATTGTTGTAAAAAGTCAAGAAAATACCAACATGGCAACATAATCATAACTCAAACTCAAATTGCACAAAACTAAGACAAATATGAACAAAACAAAGTACAAGGAGAATTAAACCAGGTGTTCCAGAAGAATAAGCGTCTTCTGCTTCATCGACGACACCTTTGTCATGCATCGGAATTGTACGTTTCTGTAGACATAACCAGAGCTACACGATAGATGTAAAAGAAAGAGCATTCATTAACTGTTTTCTGTTATTGTGTTACATCTTGCATCAACACAGTACTTCTACGTTCTAAAAAGATGTAGCTATTAAGGCGAGGCTGAGGCAGATATGTTTATCGTTTCCAAATCAAAGCAACTGCTGTATGATTAGTACTGTTCACGCCAGCGAAAAAATACAGCGGTATTCTAAAATTAATTTAACGATAAACACAAGCAACAGAATACAATGTATTTGGGAAATACGGTTTCGGATTTAAAAAAATGATGAATTATCCAAAATGTTTTGATATTGAGAGACAACCATGAGTTCAACTTAGAGCAGGAGTCAACATTTAAGTAATTATGTACATTTTGTACTTCTTACAGAACGTGACGGATATTCGTGTGTTATTCTACATTGTTGAATACCATGCATGCGGATATGTCCTGCAAGATTATGGTAATCCAGAGGGAATGAAGAATTAAAAAAGGTTATTTACCATTAATTTCAAGGGAATTAAGATAGTGTATGAAAGGGTACGACATCACTTGTTTTAGCAGGCCGAAACAGATTACTTTTTGTTCACTGTTTGGCTTATTCTAAGTAATTTCATAATGAATTGTAAGATAAATGCCACCGTACCATTTCATAATCACTATTTTACAGTTTTACAGGTTGCGACATTTGGGGACAGAGCCTTCATAAACCAATATTTAAGTCTAGCAAGGTCTCTTTAGATCCACTCAGCTGTAGATGATTATATCTGATCTACATACGTATGAAGACATGTTAAGTCGGTGATTGTCTAACTGGCTAGAATCTGAGTGTTACTTCCCAAATCTCTCATAAACAAACTCCACTTGTCTGGTACTATCTTGTATTAAACTAGAAGTTAAGAATAGACATGTGCCGAAGTCAAAAGGCTTACAATAGAACTGACTGGTTACGTGCAGGGCAATATCTATATACATGTATTTGACAATTAATGAACTAAACAATTATCAGATGAAACAGGCATGAAGCTGAGCCTCCCTTAACCAATAAAATCAATTGACCATATCTGACAGATACACCGGTCACTGATTAAGGTGTCCTGACAGCTCTGAAAATTACTGTACTGGCTAAGAAGACAGCCTATAATTAAAAGATAACTGCAACACCAATTAAATTTCCACTTAACATTTGGGTCATCATTACATCACATTGAATACTGAGTATATTCTTATAGAAGTTGTAGGAAGAATCAAAGCTACATTGTACACATTATATCTTATATCTAATTAACACTAGAAACTTTATCAGATATGAAACCTTTGACAGAATGACCATTTATGGATAATAGGTGTATCAACATATCGACTTAAAACCGTGCAGAATTAACTAAATCAAGACAAACACCAATAGCACCAACTGCTTTGTGATGATAAAAATAATGTAGCTAATAGGTTTATAACCAATAATATTTTCTTGAATCTGAATTATTAACTTGGCAACGTGTTACTTAAAATTAGACTAAGATATGAAGGACATAAACGTATAGTGTTTGTGTTAGAAGTGGTTATCTCCCTTTAACTATTGAAACGGACAAATGCATCTGTCAATTGTGTAATGTAGCAAAATGGTACAGAACTTGAATAGCATTTCGGGATGGTATACAAGAAAGATTTCAGTTGTTTCCAACTATAGGAATTTGAGTTTTAAAAAACATTGTGTTGACATAAGTTTTAAATTCATTATGAACTGTCTTGATCCACAAACCGATTTATCTGAACAACTTCCATGTTTGTGGACAAGAAGTATTTCTTACCTTAAGGTCATTGTTAACGATGTAAAGAAAAAAAGTTCAGCAGCAGCAGCAGCAGCTATTATTGTTTGATAGGACACGTGAATAATACGTTTATATCTGTGATTGTGGCGGGTTTGCAAGAATGGCTGTTCTTTTCTCTGCTCTACTGTATTGCAACGGATATGACAGTGCGTCATTTCAAAGCTAGTTTTACAAACCTTTTTTTTTTTTTTTTTTTTGCGTATTTTGAGGTCATCAGACCCTTAGAGACTGGATGATCTGTAGTCGCATTTTATACTTTTTCTCATGTTCAACTAGTAGGATTCGGTCTAAACTTTCATAAAATGATACTAAGATGGTCCTGACCAAGTGTTAATATTTTTGTTTTAATCCAACATTACCATTATGAATGTCGTGGCCGATACAGTTTTTGAACCTTTAAGCTTACATTGTTGCTATTCAGATGAAAAAATGTTTGAATATTGAGAATCTGAAATTAACAGTATCGTTGTTTTTGTTATTGTAAATACTAAACTATATAGATTTGTTTAAATCGTTTCTTGATTATTCACCCTATCACACTACTATGATATCATTCAGTAAGTCTTCACAGTCAAATAACTTTGAATCTCATTGCTTCAAGCATCAATTGAATTAAGATGTAATAGTCGGTTGGTATCTCCTTGTTGTTATACGTAGTTCAAAAACCCTGTTTTGTATGTTTGTCTGTCAGGTATCGACATTTTTCATAGAAGTCGTGAGTTTGGTAACAAACCCTTGTACATCAAATAAACTACATGATTAACACGGAAGATTGAGGAAACTGGTTCAACGAGTGGAGATCGAAATTCTATCTCTGGACAATCAGCTTGGTGGAAAAGTCTTGGTTGTTGGAATATCATGAAATGATTAGTCACTGTCTTGTTGTTTAAAGATAACACATCGTCATTTTTCTTCCTGTTATGTTTACCAATGTACATGTTTTATCATAGCGTTTGACATGTACGTGGATTCACTGTATCAATACAAGTGGTAGTTGACGTCATCGTAGTAATACCAAGGTAGAATTGATAAGTGTGGGAAATCCTGTATATGAATTTCTAGATGAATCTAAAGCGGATCTTTAGCTGGTTAGAGCTGCCAAATGTTTGAGGCGGAGATAAACTTCCGTGTGTATTGTGGTTGGTGAGATTAATGTCCTTTCTTCGAGTGCACACTGGCCACTTCATGACAGTTAAAATGTGAAAGGCTTTAAGACACTCTAAAACAGGATAAGCCAAGTAAACAGATATGGAAATCGATATCTCACGTTTGTAGGGAAGTCATCAAGTTTATATTCAGTATGGTAGTTATTACTCATTGCTCCATATGTTCTAGCAATTTACCAATTATTCTATTGCGTGCAATACTGACGAATCGCACGTACACTAAACATATCAAGACATGGCCAGTTCGAGTATGATAATCTAAGTTGATTCATCATGTATCCTGTCAAACTCTACAGACAGGTCATTTGATAAAGTTGTCAATGTATCGTATGAGTTACAGGAACATATTATCACTACTTTGATAAAATTACGAACCATAGTTGAGTTGAGAACTTTCTGTACTGTTAAAATGTTTCGTAGTAAAATGAAATTATGTAACGATGAAATGTTTCATGTCAAAATAAGATGAAAAATAACGGAGTTTGTTAATGAATAGTAATTCTCTAAGCATAATGATATCTTATTGTTTTATACGTAAATGTCCGGATTTTCTTCTGCATGCTTTTCTTGTAAACTTTATTTTATTTCATTTTTTCTCCTTACAATGTACATAGTTGCATCAAATAACAATTGAAATTGGATTTGGAAACAAGTTTGACAACTTATATTAATCCATCTGCATGCTTTTGATGTGAATCCCCAAACCAAGAAGTAATACCACGTGAGCCTTCTTATAATTTAGAAAAATCCTTATATGGACACTTGGCAATAATCTGGCTTACTTCGTTTTGCTTGATTTTACACTTGACAGGTGCTTCAATATTCTAGTACTGCAGTCATTAAAACCACATGGCAGATGATAACGTTCTCATTGTTTAACGTAACCAAAATCTCTTTTGGTCCCTGGCATTTATTTGTTATTCAAACACATCCTGCTTACAAAATGTCCATTGATATACCTTGAAAAGTCCTTATGTAATGTGGCCAGGTTGATATTTTATAATGTCAAAATATAGATCGATGTGCCGGGATTCCTCCGTTATCTTTTATGATAGGAGTATATCATTGCTCCATGCAGTCTGTCACTTTGTTTATTCTAGAACAACTACAGAAATAGAGCAAATCATTCGACACATTGACTTCAAACTTTACATGTTTACTGTACATGAAAATGAATCGTAGTTGTTCTATTTATGGCTTATATCAGACATTCCATCTCTTCGTTTTGTTTCCCGCGAAAAGACGCCTACCGTTTAAAGAAATAACGAAAAGCCGAAATCCCATCAAAATTCAAAATTCAAAACTCGCCAAATCGATAAGAAATGAAAAAACGTCAAACCATCAGAACGTAAAACAAAAATCAACAACAACGAAAAGGCGTCTTTTCGTGGGCAACAAAGATGAAAGACGTAGTGCCATGTATAAGCCTACATATGAGGTGCAGCATAAGTGTAGGCTTTTTTAAATTATAAAACGGTATCTACAAAAATATGTTAGGTAGAGAAGGATTAAAACTAATTCAAGTGAGAACTCTCCATTTCTCTTGTGGGAACAGGTGTTGGTGAGGCTAGTGTTCCAGTAGGCAGACTTAATTTATGATAATATTAATGTAAGACAATAGACCCCATCTCTATCCCATCCCTATCTCCCACTATCTGTTTTCACCTTTGCTTTACCTATGCTACTGAAATAGCGGGAGAAAAAATGGATAAGATTCTACTGAACCGAACATTTCTTCGTGTTGGCAATGTCATTAGAATAGAAGTTTTTATAACAGTAAAAAATATTCTTGTGTCAGTAAACTCATTGACGCATCAAATATTGGATTCATACACTGCATATATAATCGGTCTGCTTACTTAGAAAACCGTCTAAGATCCTGTGTGGAAATCGCAAAATCTTCATATAGGCCCACCGCCGAGGAGGAAAAAGTTCTATTGGACAGGTAGAATAAAGTTAGATATGTGAATCAAATAGCGTAGATCCTTTATCATACATTATCATCCGAAAGTGACATTTCCTTGGCATGATCTTAAGGATGCTAGTGTTTCAAGAGGATATCGAACAATTTATGTGACAGAATCTAAGATAGAATGGGCAAGTTAAGGTTGGGTATTAGATCCAGGTAAATAATTGTATTAAGTCAAACACATTAAAAAGTAATGCTTTAGTTCATATCAACCTGTTACAACATTAATCTGCCGTCAAGCCGTGAAAAATCAGAAATTACTAGGCTGGTCTAAATTATGTTAATTAAGCAAAGACGATATCGTTCATATCCAGTTCAGATCCGCCACATTTGGTGCCAAGTAACGTCATTATTGAAATTTTATACATTAATTTAATTAAGAAAACAGTGAGATTACTTGATAAAATCGAAGAATTTTGACATTGAAATAGTTAAGAAAATTTTGTTTTTACAAAATTCTGAAAGCAACAATTTTTTCGGTTTCGCCTTGTTACTCGTTGTTAACCCGAAATAAGAAGTCACTTTCGGATTGACAAGAATTTCAAAAATATTATACGATACATTTATCACATATCATTTACGATTACTTACCCGATTGCAAATGGTTCCTTTGCAATGGTGAAATGTATATGTACCATACCTATGATATAACTATACATAAGTACAATACACAAGGACATTGACCATGGTTAAGTACAAATATCATACTGGCCCAACATTCCTCCAGAAATTATATTACATATTTAATGATACGAAACTTTCTATACACACCAAACTACCATACTTAGGAACAACATATGGTATAACTTTGTCTAGATTTTCAAGACCTTACATCATCTTCATTCCTTTTGTCTAGTTTATATACTTCTGTCTGGATATCCACAATTACGCTATATCTCTCCAAGCTACTTGCTTTGTCTGGTATCTTTGGGGAATATCCCTTCCTTTTAGGTTCTTAAGCTTGCCTATGTGCATTCAGATCAATATTGCGACAGCCAAAATGATAATACTGGGTCACACGTTCACAGCCGGGGTCCGATATCAGCTACCCATAAATTATAAGGTAGTCCCTTAAATGACACGAACGCGTTTGCCCGCTGCTTTCGTTCCATTCTAGCTGCAATTCGTCGTAGACCGAGGACGGGATCAGCTACGATATCGAAAGAGGACCTTCAAAAGGGACATTACATTATGAAGACTGCAAAGGTTGTGCTTGGTAAGAAAACTTATCTTTTACACATAACAAATAATACGTTTCTTATTAAGCCCGAATATGGCGTGGGGTATGAAAATGTCCCGGTGAAGTAAATTTTCAAAACGTTTTGTTCATGTACTTAAGATGAATGGGTCTAACAGCCCGACTAGTATCGCGTACATTATATATATCTTTGTCAACTTCTCTAGGAATGATCATCTACTCGATAACTGTAACCCAGGGAATCTCCTCTTGCTATCTCCATAGATCCACTTTGACTATCTCTGTGAGTCTTTCTCTTAGATATGTCATAATTTATAATCTGTGATCTTTGAACTACAAAATAATAATGATCACAGCGATTAAAAACACGACTTTGACTTCTGAAGTAGATACAATTTACTGACGTGACAACATATGGAGTGTTTAGAGAAAGAGATAGCCACCGTGCAGAAGTTAAATGGCCGCCATTAGGATCTTATAGGTAGTAATTCTATTTCCTTGTCTGGTATGAAGATCAACGGAAACAGGTCGTTCTCAGGTGCTCGACAAACGACAAGTATTGTGTAACAATGTAATTGATTGATATATAGAGTAGATCATACTCTGTCACGCTTCAGGTTGAAATAAAATGTCCATTGTCCCTATCATATGTTGATTACGTGGTATTTCCTCATGACTGTGTAAGATATGTCATCAATGTCACTAAGGATTCTTTTCCTTCTGCAATATCACGTTGTATTCTAATTGATTTCCATGTCATGATTGTAAAGGGTTATTTATGCATGTTTCATCAATAGTTTATTCATACGTACAGTGTACCCCCAATGTTTTCATAATTTTTGTATTCATATGTACATTGTCTACTCCAGCCCACCCCACATCCATCTTTTCATCATTTGTTGTATCCATACGTTCATTGGGTATGTCTCCTGAATCTTGCATCCATAACACTATCCTTAACGTTTCAACAATCTTTTATTCACATATTCATTTTTTTCATCTTGTGTTTTATTCATATATACATTTTCACCCCTAGTTACTTCACACTTAGAATAAGGTCATGATCCATCACAAGGTGCCTCCGTATTTCTCTATATGTTGAAGTTTCTGATGAAAAAGAACATGGAGTTGCTCTTGTTTTCTCTACCACTTGCAACGGAGTTAACACTTTTTGTGTCTTTGTACAATCTTTGGAGAAAGGGGTGGTTTGGTTACGATAAAAACGGCATGTCAATTCTTCATCTATAAACATGTCCGGTGTGAAACGAGAAACAGTAAAAACGATTTATGAAATGATGCCCTTTCTTAATTGACCTACTGAGTTACATCACTTCGTTTATTTTCTATTCTATTTATAAACATCTGCCATACTTAAAATAAATTAATTTACGAAAGGTGCATTTGCAAATGAGGGTATTGGTGTTATTAACATCAGCATTATTTTAGATCAGGAGTCTGTTCAGTATAACAACCCACCATACTTCAATGCAGAAATAACCCTGTAACTGCCTACAGTTACCCCTGTTGGAACTACAAACAAATGCTGCAAATGAATGTAGATGATTTAGAACTACCTCTCCGTTCTCTCTCTTCTTTTAACAATGGTCAAACTGCGTACATCCATGCAATAACTGACGATTAAAGCATTATCCAAAATGATAACCTGCGACAACTTCTCGTGAAGGATCCTAAATTTCGTGTAACCCTGCCCGTCAATTTGAATATTAATGTTAAGGTACATAAGATCGTTCTGAAAACCATGCCAGAGAGATTTTTAAACGAGAGCATTCCGTGTTTGAATCATTTCGGTCCATCATTCTTAAAAGAATTAGGAGCTTATATCGAAAATGGAAATAAAACAAAGTCCTTCGATCCTGATTTTTAATCTGCATGATAGGTATGTTATCTTTGTCAAATGATTTGATCCTTATCTGCAGTTATTATTACATTTCTTGTATACAAAAAGACTTATGCTTGCTTGACAAATAAAGCTGTAGGTATGTAACTGAATGTCCTTCCTATCAATAAGGGAGTCAAACTTAATTGTTATATAAAGCTGTAGATGTATTGCAGGTTCTGAGATACTTAAGAAAACGCAAAATGTCATTAAAATTTTGTACATGATAAATCGGACATTTTTGTCATTCTGACCAAGTTAGATGTTCCTATTATTAACAAAGATTCTAATTCAATATATTCACAGTTATCTGGATGGCAGTCGCTACGCCGACATTATATGGATATCCACACATACAGAAACACTCAGATAACTCTAAGGTCAAGGAGAATGACTGGATCCTCCCAGAATATGCTGATGTGGAAATGGAAACGTCAAGTCATTGTGCCTCGGATGTGAGGTGTCGATGTCATGTTTCGACGAGTGGAGGAATAGTGGCTGATTGCTCAAACTTGAATATTTCCGTTATTCCAAATTTCCATGCCAACGTTACCAGAATCTTCTTACAGCGAAACGAGATAGCACACTTCAAGATAAAAGAGGGACAGTTGTCTAATTTTACTCAATATCTGGATATTTCTGACAACAAAATAGAAAGCTTCATTGACGAGCCATTTAGAAACATGAATAAATTACTTCATCTGGATTTAAGTAAAAATTTCTTAAAATACATCCCATCTGTTTTTCCGCAAAATATATTTCGAGGACTGAAAAGCTTAACATATCTCAACTTAAAGGGTAACAATGACAGGCATGGAAATTTGCGATCTGAAAATCTAACATACCCGACCAGTATCGGAAAAATCATAACCCTAAAGACATGTCTATTGGACGGTGTGGATCCAGGTGGTTTCTCAGGAAAATTTAAAAAACTAACACAACTAGAATTGATGGATTTAGGAGGCCACGATGGATATTGTGCGTTATATAACTTGAAATCTAATTATTTTGAAAATGTATCGTCAATTCAACATCTTAATTTGTCTTATTGTGATTTGCGTAGTTTTGAAAAAGGAACGTTTCGTGTGCTCAGCAGATTGAGTTCACTGAACATTTCGCACAATGATAGGCTGACCTTCAGAGTGTTGTCAAGCTTAACGGATGATCTACAGGTTTTGCCCATCAGTATGTTAGACATAAGTAAGATACACTGCGACTATGGACCAGGAACAATGGTGTATGTAGAAGACATATCAAAGCTAAGCAATCATACTTACCTGACACACTTGTATGCAGAGAGTAACCGATTATCGCTTGTAGAGGAGGGCCTGATTCCAGAACTACCGAAGAGTTTACGGGTTCTCTCAGTAAAGGAGAATCGACTGACGTATGGTGCTTATGTTTGGCAAATATCCACTGCCATTAATTTAGAATATTTTGACGGAAGTAACCAGTACACTTCTCATGACCCCAGCATCGGAACCAAGGACTGTAACGACTGGAGAGCACCACCATCAAAATACGGTCATGACTGGCAGGCTCAATCATCCAAAGACTGCAGCAACTGTTCGATACCGACATCCAAGAGTGATTATGAATTTCCAACACCAAAACTGTATCTTCCTCCCAAACTAAGTCGCCTCGAATTCTTTGATAGCAGTTTAGATTACGAGATAGGACGCATTCCTTTTGAGCCAAACAACATGACATACGTTGACTTACACAGCAACTTATTGCATTCGTGGAAAGGTCCTATTTCCAATTTACAATATGTCAAATATATTGACGGATCAAGCAATTACTGTACATATATATCAGATGAATTCTTTGATGATTGTCAAAATCTCGAAACTCTAGTTTTACACGACAATTTACTCGGAAATGTTTTGTATAAAGATACGAATGGGAATATCTTCCGTCGTCTTGAACGCTTACGATCATTGGATTTATCCTGGAATCGGATACAGGCAGTCCCTAGGCTTTTGCTTAAGAACCAAAGCAAATTAAGGAGATTGAACTTCAGCCATAATGAATTGCCCGAATTTGACTTGGAATTTCAACTTATGTCACACTTACAAAATTTAAACCTGTCTTACAATGAATTGAATTTACTGAGTGATAACGTTCGTAGACAGATAGATAATTTGAAGGGTCGAAACCTCACCGTAGATTTAAGTAGAAATCAGCTTCAGTGTTCATGTGAAACAATGGATTTCCTAACATGGCTAGGAGACAATAAGGAGATGTTTCACAACTTTCAAAACTACGAATGTCGCTACTCAAATGGCACAAACGCGACATTTTCAGATTTCGAGAATATTTCAGTTGGGTTAAAGAAGTATTGTAGTGACTACACCGCATTGATAGTGGGAACTACTTTCGCTGTAGTTCTCGCTGTATCTTTGACAGTGTCAGGACTTGTATACCGCTTTCGTTGGAAATTAAGATATTTGTATTATATGACGAGAACAAGATATAGGGGATATTCAGGCTTAATGACAAACGATGACGAAAAAGACGAATACCCTTATGACGCCTTCATATCGTACTGCGAACAGGACGGCAGATTTATCAGACATGACCTTTTAAATGAACTGGAGAACCGAAGGGGCTTATCACTGTGTCTACATCAACGTGACTTCATGCCAGGGCAAGATATAGCAGAAAATATTACAAAAGCTATCAATCAAAGTAGGAAAACAGTGGCAATCGTTTCCAGGAGTTATATCGAGTCTTACTGGTGTAGGTATGAATTCAACATGGCTCGTATGGAGAGTATTTACTCTAGAGACGGGAGGTGTGTTTTGCTGTTGGTGTTTTATGAGAGCGTAAACCCGGAATACCTTCCGTTTAATGTGATGGACGTTATTGCGAATGAGTCATATATTGAATATCCGCGAGATGAACAAGGTAATGTTGTTTTCTGGGAAAAACTGGCAGAGACCCTTTCCCAGTAAGTCTGCCTATTTATGGCAGAGACCCTTTCCCAGTAAGTCTGCCTATTTAGATTCTCGTTCGAAAAGAGTAAATTGTATGCATTGTTTGTATTCCATCCATTCGTCCAATATGCCAATGTAGATGATTGGACATTATCTGATGCTACTCTTCAGTTTCGGAGATATTAAAAAATTGACCTCTTTATATTATCGGATTACTCTCTCGTGGCCTGTTGGTTATATATACTTGTAAGAACCAGTGACGGTAACTGGAATACGTATCATTATTCACCGTTATATCCTAATGAAGATTATAGTGACTTTTTAGGCTTTGACTGACTGTTGCTCGACTGAGAGATACACGCTATTTTTTGCACGGAAAAGATAAGTAATACTTTATCTGACGATATAAATGTTGTGCAGTCGTTTCGTCTCTACACCCGTCAGTACGTGAATACCCAAGTCCGCACCAAACCTTTAACGTAAACTCAACACATCGACTTGACATCTTGCTTTTATTTGGAGGTTCCTTGGTCGAGTGTATTTATTCTGAAGAATCGTATTTCAACATTTTTCGGCAGGACATTGTAAATAGAGTTAGGTGACTAGGTATTATATATATGTCGGTATGTCTCCACAGTCCATCAGAGAAATAGTGACATATAGATTTAGGTGATTAAGTATTTAATACATGTCGGTATGTCTCCACAGAGAAATAGTGACATATAGAGTTAGGTCATTAAGTATTTAACACATGTCGGTATATCTCAACAGTCCATCAGTGAAATAGTGACTTATAGAGTTAGGTGATTAAGTATTAAATACATGTCGGTATGTCTCCACAGAGAAATAGTGACATATAGAGTTAGGTGATTAAGTATTTAATACATGTCGGTATGTCTCCACAGAGAAATAGTGACATATAGAGTTAGGTGATTAAGTATTTAATACATGTCGGTATGTCTTCACAGAGAAAAAATGACATATAGAGTTAGGTGATTAAGTATTTAATACATGTCGGTATGTCTTCACAGAGAAATAGTGACATATAGAGTTAGGTGATTAAGTATTTAATACATGTCGGTATATCTCAACAGTCCATCAGTGAAATAGTGACTTATAGAGTTAGGTGATTAAGTATTTAATACATGTCGGTATGTCTCCACAGAGAAATAATGACATATAGAGTTAGGTGATTAAGTATTTAATACATGTCGGTATGTCTCCACAGAGAAATAGTGACATATAGAGTTAGGTGATTAAGTATTTAATACATGTCGGTATATCTCAACAGTCCATCAGTGAAATAGTGACATATAGAGTTAGGTGATTAAGTATTTAATACATGTCGGTATATCTCAACAGTCCATCAGTGAAATAGTGACTTATAGAGTTAGGTGATTAAGTATTTAATACATGTCGGTATGTCTCCACAGAGAAATAATGACATATAGAGTTAGGTGATTAAGTATTTAATACATGTCGGTATATCTCAACAGTCCATCAGAGAAATAGTGACATATAGAGTTAGGTCATTAAGTATTTAACACATGTCGGTATATCTCAACAGTCCATCAGTGAAATAGTGACATATAGAGTTAGGTGATTAAGTATTTAATACATGTCGGTATGTCTCCACAGAGAAATAGTGACATATAGAGTTAGGTGATTAAGTATTTAATACATGTCGGTATGTCTCCACAGAGAAATAGTGACATATAGAGTTAGGTGATTAAGTATTTAATACATGTCGGTATGTCTCAACAGTCCATCAGAGAAATAGTGACATATAGAGTTAGGTCATTAAGTATTTAACACATGTCGGTATATCTCAACAGTCCATCAGTGAAATAGTGACATATAGAGTTAGGTGATTAAGTATTTAATACATGTCGGTATGTCTCCACAGAGAAATAGTGACATATAGAGTTAGGTGATTAAGTATTTAATACATGTCGGTATGTCTCCACAGAGAAATAGTGACATATAGAGTTAGGTGATTAAGTATTTAATACATGTCGGTATGTCTCAACAGTCCATCAGAGAAATAGTGACATATAGAGTTAGGTCATTAAGTATTTAATACATGTCGGTATGTCTCCACAGAGAAATAGTGACATATAGAGTTAGGTGATTAAGTATTTAATACATGTCGGTATGTCTCCACAGAGAAATAGTGACATATAGAGTTAGGTGATTAAGTATTTAATACATGTCGGTATGTCTCCACAGAGAAATAATGACATATAGAGTTAGGTGATTAAGTATTTAATACATGTCGGTATGTCTCCACAGAGAAATAGTGACATATAGAGTTAGGTGATTAAGTATTTAATACATGTCGGTATATCTCAACAGTCCATCAGAGAAATAGTGACATATAGAGTTAGGTCATTAAGTATTTAATACATGTCGGTATATCTCAACAGTCCATCAGTGAAATAGTGACATATAGAGTTAGGTGATTAAGTATTTAATACATGTCGGTATGTCTCCACAGAGAAATAGTGACATATAGAGTTAGGTCATTAAGTATTTAATACATGTCGGTATATCTCAACAGTCCATCAGTGAAATAGTGACATATAGAGTTAGGTGATTAAGTATTTAATACATGTCGGTATATCTCCGCAGAGAAATAGTGACATATAGAGTTAGGTGATTAAGTATTTAATACATGTCGGTATATCTCAACAGTCCATCAGTGAAATAGTGACATATAGAGTTAGGTGATTAAGTATTTAATACATGTCAGTATATCTCAACAGTCCATCAGTGAAATAGTGACTTATAGAGTTCGGTGATTAAGTATTTAATACATGTCGGTATATCTCAACAGTCCATCAGAGAAATAGTGACATATGGAGTTAGTTCATTAAGTATTTAATACATGTCGGTATATCTCAACAGTCCATCAATGAAATAGTGACATATAGAGTTAGGTGATTAAGTATTTAATACATGTCGGTATGTCTCCACAGAGAAATAGTGACATATAGAATTAGGTGATTAAGTATTTAATACATGTCGGTATGTCTCAACAGTCCATCAGTGAAATAGTGACATATAGAGTTAGGTGATGAAGTATTTAATACATGTCGGTATGTCTCCACAGAGAAATAGTGACATATAGAGTTAGGTGATTAAGTATTTAATACATGTCGGTATGTCTCCACAGAGAAATAGTGACATATACAGTTAGGTGAATAAGTATTTAATACATGTCGGTATGTCTCCACAGAGAAATAGTGACATATAGAGTTAGGTGATTAAGTATTTAATACATGTCGGTATGTCTCCGCAGAGAAATAGTGACATATAGAGTTAGGTGATTAAGTATTTAATACATGTCGGTATGTCTCCACAGAGAAATAGTGACATATAGAGTTAGGCGATTAAGTATTTAATACATGTCGGTATGTCTCCACAGAGAAATAGTGACATATAGAGTTAGGTGATTAAGTATTTAATACATGTCGGTATATCTCAACAGTCCATCAGAGAAATAGTGACATATAGAGTTAGGTCATTAAGTATTTAATACATGTCAGTATATCTCAACAGTCCATCAGTGAAATAGTGACATATAGAGTTAGGTGATTAAGTATTTAATACATGTCGGTATGTCTCCACAGAGAAATAGTGACATATAGAGTTAGGTGATTAAGTATTTAATACATGTCGGTATGTCTCCACAGAGAAATAGTGACATATAGAGTTAGGTGATTAAGTATTTAATACATGTCGGTATGTCTCCACAGAGAAATAGTGACATATAGAGTTAGGTGATTAAGTATTTTTATACATTTTTGCTGGAATTTATCTATACATCAGAACATTCAACATAGCAACTTTATTCGCCTCTTTATAAATTTAGAAGTGGATTGTAAACGAGGCTTAATCAGGGGAAAGCACTCTAATTGACTCGGTCTGAAATGTTCACAAATGAGCCATCCCTGAGTTAATATGTACATGTTCGCTTGTGAAATTTAAATCAATAGTATTTATACTTGCAACGCTTAATCTCTAGATGCAACTTAACAAACACAATGTTTTTATTTATCAATATCTACGAATGGCGAGTAGACAAGAGTATATTTTAATGTCACTTAAACCAGATGTAAATGTTCGCTTACAATCCTAAATGTATATAAACACAACAATGTAACGAGATATCTAAGCGATCTAGATATGATGTGACATGCTTTTTGTATTTGCAAAGAGTGAACTTAAATATTAATTTGATCCTTTACTCTTTAAACTATTTTGTTGTCAATAATGCCAAGGCAGCGCTATCCTATATCATCCGATAGAATAATATTTGGTAGCTTAATTGAATCAGCAATTGCTGTAACGATGTGTTTAAGTTTTAAATGCTTCAATAAAATATGTGCTATATTAATCATCATTTTCTATGCTTACGCCAAAGTGTTTTTAAATAAGGGTAACTACACGCTTAATTTGGCGTGCTATGTACCAAGCAATATGTAATTACCTCAATGTCAATACCCAACGATACAGTACAGAAAATAACACCTAGTCTTGTACCCTTCCTGTGTAAATCCACTTGTAAAGGTCTAGTCAAATCTAGCTATTTCTTGGTAGTGGTATTGTCAATTATAAAATGATAAATTGAAAGGATATGTCTTATATTTGGTAGTAGGGCAGTGAAATCTTTGCCTGAAGTGCAGATTCTTTACTGTGGAAACCGAATAGAAATCTGGTTTTATGAGTGTTGTGTTAATTTTAGTGTTGCTGCATAGACTATCAGAATGTCAAAAATGCTTTCAAATGCTAAATAGAAAAAATAAATCCGTAAATCCTTCAAGATGATATCTTGTTATTTGTGAAAGAAATGAATAGTAACTATAGCAACAATATGCCGTTTGTGAGTTTCTCATTTGCATATTCATGATGACGACGACGACGATGATGATAATAGAAAAATTGACGATGATGATGATGATGATGACGATGACGATGATGATGATGATGATGATGATGATGATGATGATGATCTAGTGCTGTGATTATGTAGTGTATTTAAAAATATTGAAAAAAAGAAAGACATGTTTATTTGAATATAAGTATACTGCTTAATCAATTATCGAAGCGCCCTCTGTTAGCTGGAAGGCACAAACAAGAATGAAATGGGGATATGAACACCGGATATGGAATATCAGGTCTTTGCGGTAAGTCCACTGGTCTGACGAAAGCCGGTTTTTATTTTGTCCTACAAACGGAAGGGTCCATGTATGGAGACCAAGAGGTCTGCCTGTCACCAGACTCTCATTCTTTGCATAACTGCATTTGATGATGGCGGTGTCACATTTTTTCCTCTGAACTGTAAACTTTGCTTACATGCCCTTGGAGGAACTGTAAACGGACAAAACTCCCGTAACAGATATTTCGGCCTTTCGTAGTTAAGCATTTTGATGCTCAACCATGGACAGTAAGGTCTATAAAAACATCAAGAAAATACCAACATGGCAACATAATCATAATTCAAACTCAAATCCAATAAAACTAGGGCAAAATATGAACAAAAGAAACATTTACACGAGGACTCCGGAAAACGTACAAAGAGAATAAGACCAGGTGTTCAGGAAGAGTTAGCGTCTTCTGCTTCATCGACCTGTCATGTAAACCTTGGTCAATCCATGTGAATGATGTCTTAAATGAGAACAATGTATACAACAAGGGACCGAACAGGCCACCTAACGAGCATCAAACACGTCCAGCTTCAGTCAGTTGATGACTTCTTGCACGAAAATCGTGATAATGAGAAGAGGTCCTAATGAATGGCAATACTAAAACATACTGAGTCCGCCTATAGTAAGACCATCTTCAACACGAAAAGATGCAGACCCTCTCATGGCCTTTAGTGTCGCTAGGCGTGAACCCGATTGAGCATGTTTGGTACTATCTCCGACAAAAGTCAATGTATGGGATCCATACCAAATGCCAAACAGTTGGAGAATTATCATGGGAAGAGGTTTTGGAAATGAGTCCTCAAAACCAATCTTCTGCAATATAAATGTACATATGTAGGTTTGCAGGCAATGAATAGAAAGTGGAAATTCAACGGCAGGAAATTGAAACCGTTACGCTTATCATACAGGAAGTTGAAATTGAACCTGTAAATTTAGATACAAAGCGTCATATGAGAAAAAAACGGAAGAAACAAAATTAGTGTCAACCTCAAAATTGTTAAAACGGGTGTGAAATACGGAAAAAAACAGGGGAATTTGAATAGGTACCCCGGAAGTTTGAATCTTGGTTAGATAACGAATACGTTTACAAGAACGAATCCACTTTAATAAGGTGATATATTATCTCCCGGATCTCACGGATATACAACATAGAATATTTCCCCGTTGAGATTATGTGTTGACCTTAAAACTTCCTGATAACATTAATCACCATACATCTCTCGTTCGTTTTTGTTGTAACCTGTCAGCAGCAGCTGTCTCCCGAGTAAGCACTGAGAACGATTACAATATTGATACAGTATGATACATACAACACGGAAATGCTGTTGAGATCCGTCTCGCCAGGCTTTGGTCAATAAGTACAGATTTCACACCAATGTCAATTTTTTCATACTCAAAATTTAAAACAACAACTGCACGAACATTTTTGCTCTATTCGCGACTGCTTGAAGTTAACTATTGTTCTATACTGTTATTAAACACTTTGAAATACTGACCAAGCATGATACGACTTAGATTTGCTTTAACCTCAAGTGAATGATATAACATGACATACTATCAAGCAACACATACAACTTTGATGACGAAACAGAAAGGGAAGAAGCAAGGCAATCTAAATCCAGCACTATTGAATGTCGGATCAAGTCTGGAAAATCTATTTCTATTCTAGGATGCTGCAACCGAGGAACAACTCTATATACTGACTGACCTGTAGTCGTGACGTACCATCATGACAGGTGTGGCTCCCAAACAGAGTCACCTATGGTTACAGAACGGTCGCTATCTTTTAAACAAAATCACCTTTTGGTCACAGAACAGTTGCTGAATACTTAAGCCCTAACATAATAACCAAATCACATCAGTTTGTCGGACGGTTTTGATAGAGATTGGAATCGTTATGACAGATTGATTAACAGAAGGCATTCGATAAACTGAATCATAAAGGTAATTCGTCCTTCTAGAACTCGTCAGAAATGCCAAGGGCCTTAATTGTGAAGCCTTGGATGAGGAAAATCCTAACTAATCGAAAGTCCAAACAGAGGTTGGGGAGATGCATTAGACACATAATGGAATTGATCTTGTAATTTCGTGATATCAGATAATTTGGAATATTCTGTTCTTCTTTGATGTCAGGTTTAAATTATCGCCCTGTCTATAAGTGATGTCAGGAGTCTACCAAACTATTGATACTTAAATGGCAATGATGCAAACATTTTGTCAAAATAATTATTTTAAAGGAAAGATAGGAAAATGGACCTTTAATATTGGATAACTAAGAAAAATATTTACAATGTTGTTCGGAAAGAGAGATAGAGTCGATAAGGCATTGACATTAATTTTAGGAAGTTTTGGAAATAGAGACACGTACGATAATGAAAGCTGGTTGCTTTGAGCATCAAATGATTGTGCCTTGCTGATCACTGACGTTTTAATCTCTTGAATGATAATAGATGTCACTTTAAAGATTTATATAAAATTTCGTGACTTCTCACGAATTTTACCTGATAATGTAATCACGAAATTCCTAATGATAAAGTAGATCCAATATCATACGACATATGTGCATATATCAGTTTATTGTCTGGATTATACTGCATTCCTTTATACTAACAACTTCTGTGTGCATAGTACCTCAAATAGATCAACCAGTGTATTTTAATTAATTGAAAGTGAATTCCGGCGTTTGTTTACAATATCAAATCTACATTACTCTCTAAACAGAGTAAGTAAGGTAAAAGTGGAGACTGCGTGGCTGTAATTCATGGGAAATTTGAAAATATATTCTGGTTAATAGTATGCGCAAGATATCCAGTTTAAGTGGTTCGTTCGATTTTGTAAATCCCTTGACCGCCATAAAGGGTTTATTATTTTTTTTTAATCATTGTTACTGATTAGATTTCCATCGTTGATTATAATTTCTTTTTATTACCTCCTGTGAGAGAATTTGGTTTTATGTTGATGATACATAATATTCGTCATCACAAGATTTGATAGATATATTTATTTTAACATTGAAGTATTGCTTTTAATACTTGATCATTCAGGATGAAGCTAAAATATTTTGCCATTTAATCTAAAAAAAAAAAAAAAAAATAGCCAAATTCCTAATCAATAATTTTTGTGATAGTGATCTCATTGAGAAAATATTCTATCTATTTGTGCGATATGAAGCTGGGTGTGTTTAATGCTCCATTGTTTGCCTGATGGTTCCGTTTTGTATACCTTGCACTCATTTGAGAATCTGACATTACTTACTTGGATTTAAAAAGGTTTACATGGCGGGAGTTGTCGATGAAGGAGAAGACGCTTGCTCTTCCGGAACACATGATCTTATTCTCCTTGTACTGTTTTAGGAGTCTCTGTGTAAATGTTTCTCTTGTTCATATTTTGCCCTAGTTTTATTGAATTTGAATTTGGATTATGATTATGTTGATATTTTAGTATGCTCTTGTATGGCGGGAGTTGTCGATGAAGGAGAAGACGCTTGCTCTTCCGGAACACATGATCTTATTCTCCTTGTACTGTTTTAGGAGTCTCTGTGTAAATGTTTCTCTTGTTCATATTTTGCCCTAGTTTTATTGAATTTGAATTTGGATTATGATTATGTTGATATTTTAGTATGCTCTTGTATGTTTAGCCTATAGCTTTATCTGATTGAATGATTGAATCATTCTTGTTCGAAAATGTTACATCAGACGTCACTTGTTTGAAAATTGATATTTGGTGTAATACAATATAAATAAGATATACTCATTTATCAACATCATGAGAATTAAATTCCCCGTTTTTTTTGTTTTTTTTTTCCGGGGGGTGGGGGTGGGGGGTTCTGTTGTTTTTTTTGTTTTTTTGTTTTTTTTCTTTTTTTTTCTGTTTCAAAATACGGTATCTCTCATAAAGAAATAAATACAACCATCAAAATTTTAAACACACATATAACTTTATTAGACGTCTAACAGTTGAGCCGGTCTTGTGAACCAATGTTGGCTGTTTCTGGTCCAACCTGGTTACCTTGGTAGTCCACACAGTAACAGACACTTCCGGTACACTGGATTGGATTGTAACTGCCTATCGGGTTACAATCGAAGAACTTGCCATACATTTTCTTTAGAGAATACTCGTGTTTCCTTCGTGCACATGCTGGAATAAATAAAATGATATTTCGTGGCTTTATAGGTTAAATACAGTTCGTATCGTTCAAGAAACCAGTCCTTAAATCTCGCCGAAAAACGAGAATATCACAAACTAGATTTGGTTCACGTGCATATCTTCAATGTGTGCAAGGAAAAAAAGGTTGATTACTTCAGTTTGGAGGTATATAATCAACATAGAAATTGACATAAATTTCCACCAGCAACTGGCAATATTTATCTTAGAGTACAAAGTATGATAAGCACATAATGTAAATTTAGACTATGGAAAAGTCAGACATCATTGTTCTGAAGAGGTAAATTAACAACAGGAAGATTTAAAAAATGACACTTGTCATTTGGTTAAAATTAAACTATTCCATTAAATAACATTTGGGTTAAGATCGAAGTAGTGTTGTGATCCAGAAAAAAAATCACTTTGTACTTGGTTTCAAGTTAGAATTCATATTTGTTAAAAAAAATGAATAACTATTAGTGACTATAACCCGCGAGAATAACATTCATATAAAATAGACCTGATTCTTATTTTTATATTTTCAAGGATGACAGGGAGTGTCTAATTCATACATTGCGCGATCTAGTCTTCTATGTCAATTTTTCATGTATATTTTTTTTCGATTTTTTAAAATTCCATTTTCAAACAATGTTCCTCAAAGTATCTAGATGGTGTTGTCTTTGTTTTGGTTTTATTTATTTATTTGAAAGATAATTGATTTCGAAAACATAATTACGATTGGGTTAATCATTTTAAAAGGGCGATTTGTGTGTGTCTTTTTTTTTAAAACAAACTACGCTTTTGGAGTACACACCAAGCTCTACTACAGTCCCTTATGACAAAAATATATTTGATTTTTATATATGGTATAACGAAGGACGTTATCGTTAATGGAAGATTGGGAAAGGAACAACTGTTATCTACAGAGGACCCCAAATGTCTACATACCACAGTCCGATTTGTATGCGAAGCCAATACTGAAATCCTCCGTGAGTTTGGAACCCTCAGCGGTTACACATTTACACCTACAAATGATAATAGTGACATTCAGTCAGCACTCCACATACCACTATAACCATACACCTATGGAAAACTCAGTTACATAAAAGTATTTTTGTCATTCTATAACACATTAACGCATATAGAAAGATCTATTGGCTTTCAAAAGTTACTTATTTATCAGTTGAAATTGAAATCACGTTCGTCGACGCATCGCTTTTGATGTTACAGTAACAAGATATTGTCAAAATGTATTGAAGACGTGATATGAACTTTAAAACACAATACAACTAGTTAGAAAGGATAAAATCAGTATAAACACTATTTGCAAGACAAAGAGTTTTCAAAATATGGCTACTCACACAGATCCAAGACACTGACGAGGGGCATAGGTGCCGTCTACCAGGCAATCAGGTTTCATGTACCCAACTGGAGGCATGCCATTATTTTGAGCCGTAAGTTCTGCAATCTCAGCCTCGATTGCGGCGAGTTCCATTTCGCAAGTCACCGGTAGGGAAACCCCTGAGAGAGCATTAGCACAGTTAATATTGAGCTTGGGTTGGAGTTCAAGATTGATAATGATATCTTATCAGGCCAAAAAAACTTCCAACATGACAACATAATTCAAAACCAAATTCCATAACACTACGGCAATAAATGAACAAGAGAAAGATCTGCACGGAGACTTCTAAAAAAGGGGGGAATAAAACCTGGTGCTCCGGAAGAGTAAGCGTTTAAAACAGATTCAAAAACGATCATCAATCCCAATCCCCTTTTGTGCCAGAAAACGAATTGTAGTTGTGCGAGTCTGTGCTGACACACTTTGTAAAGCTTAAATAAATTTGGTTGCACAAGGGTTTTAAAACCAATAGCATGTTATTGTTTTTTTGGGTTTTTTTTAAAACTTATCTCGTTTCAAACAAATGAAATGGCTGTTGAACTCTATTCTTGATACATGAATTTAACTTAAACGTTCACCAAAGAGTGTGGAATACTGAAAGCATTTGATAAGACAAAGATTGGCTTTAACCTGAAGGGAACGATACGTGTTAATAATACTAACCGGCAGCAAAGGCAACGATGAAAGCGAGGAGAACGGTAAGTATGGCAATCTTCATCTTGTACACTAGAGTGTTGTATCCTGTCTGAACGGTGTATCTGGTCTGTGATGCTGCAACGGAGAAACACCTTTATATACAGACTGACCTGCTGTCGCCACGTACCCACATAACAGATGCAGGTAGGTGATAGATTTATTAATTAAGTGCCCTGTGGACATGCAGTCGTCAGCAGTTTGATCCCAGATATACAAACGTTAACGTGTAGTGATACTGAAGTAGATATGGTTAAAACATCCTGTTAATATTACAATTGCCATTCATGTAACGGAAACTCATTTAAGTCCAGTCTCCAGTGTAGACCTGTCCCTTCCTTGGACAAAAGATCTTCCTCTAGCGTCCAATGAATCGTGTTACGCACAGTCCGAAAGCAAGTTTGACTTTTCTGTTGCTCTAACAGTTATGATAACAGACATTTTAAATCCATGACAACTAGATACCATAATTATTGAAACATTTTTGACAGTAACTGTGAACTCCAAATTATTTACCATTTTAATCCATCTATAACAGCATCCCAACTTTTATTAATAATTAGTCACCTCATTTATAATTTCATGACAGGTTCTAATGTATCTGTATTGTTACATGGTTCAAAACATATCCAGCTCAAAATTTCCTTATATTGAAAATTATTCATTAATAGAACAATGTAAAAAGTTGATGTCACCGTTGACATTTATTTCGGAACATTTCTGAGACGCCTCCTATATTTCAATAATTTAGAAAAACTCGAATATATAGCTTTATTCATTGTTATGTTAAACTGATTGCTTAAGATTGAAAGGTGCGGAGGTGCCAATCAGTTTGAGCAATTCATTATCATTTAAATTTACTTAGTATTAAAAATGCGTTAATCTTTAAGATATATGCATCATAAATGTTGCTTTTTTTAAATAATGGAATACCGATTACTTAGTGGGGTTTTTTTGTTGTTTTTTTTTTTAATTTTGTTGTTATTGTAAATGTTTATATTTACATGTTGTTCATCTCTTTATATATTAATGTTGAATAGTTGATATTTTATCCATTCTTATAAATATAACTTTTAATGTTTCTATATGTTTTGTCTGTGAGTACTAGATTAGTTAACAATATCAACTTTTCAAAAATTTATTATCGTATTTTCAACATATCGGCAATAACATGTATCATGAGAAAGGCAGATACAGAGTAGAAATGCAAAATATACACGTTGAGAGAGAGAGAGACAGACAGACAAAGACAGACACAGAGAGAGAGACAGAGAGACAGACAGACAGACAGACACAGAGAGAGAGAGAGAGAGAGAGAGAGAGAGAGAGAGAGAGAGAGAGAGAGAGAGAGAGAGAGAGAGACAGACAGACAGAGAGACAAAGAGAGAGAAACAGAGAATCTAGATATGTTGTCAAAGACTTAATACATTACTGTTACCGTGGAAACAGATAACCCTCATCACAAATTTCAGTTTTCCTGACCCAGTGCTCTGAAACCATTCAAGATAATTGCACATAACTTGTTTTTACATTTATTCAGCTTGTAGTATCTTTTGCTATGGAGAAGTTAACCATTAAAATGCTTTAACTGTTACTATGGGAACAGATAGGCCGAATTACAAAGTTCTCTTAAACTGTTCAAGGTAATTACTTGTTACTCGAAACTTTGTACACATATCAAGCTAGTGCTCTAGAAGAAGCTCTCAATTTCAATACTTTGTATGCAACAATTAAAAACTATAAAATAGAAATATTGTAATATTAACATATAAATATGATTGTGCATCTTTCTTTTAAACAGCGGGGCACGGGGATAATGTCAAACTGCGCTATCTTGTCGTCTTTTGTTTTGTTCTTCATTGCCTTCATGTTGTATGATTGTAATCACATGACTTTACATATGGAAACTTTATTATGTCAAATTATAAAAATCACACATTAGTTGTAAGCATTTGAGGGGTTTAACAATGGGATGAAACCTGTATCCCTTCGGGGAATCGAACCCGGACGGCTAGATGAAAGACAATTTGTTACAACTGTGCCGCCAAACCACCGCCTGATCATGATGATGCACTGTTTTCTAGAAGAAGAAGAAGAAGAAGAAGAAGATGATGATGATGATGATGATGATGATGATGATGATGATGATGATGATGATGATGATGATGATGATGATTAATCGGTACATGTGTATGTGCCAATGTTTTGTTAAAATCTTGCGAAACATACAATAAATTTTAAAAATACACTTCAGTGCAGACATGGATCAGGCAGTTCAAAATGTGCATCTTGTTGACCAACTTCATTTCATATAATATTTAGATAATAAATAATATATAGGAAATTCACGGTCAAGTCTTTCCTTTCTTTGTTAACCTTAATTTCACAATTATTACTTAACTCCTCTACAATTAGATTTTAAAAAGTTAAAATAACACTCTAATCCCAACTCACTTCTAATAGCGAACACTTTACGGTATTGTGTGAGGTAATTCAACTCCAACAAACTGGAACTTCATTACCCACAATACACTTACCGCAGCATGCAATGAGAACTGCCGATCTGTTGAATGGATCAAAAATGATTTTGACCGACAAAATATTTTTTAAGCCTTCATCAGTGCTCCAGATAATTTTTTCATGCAATGAGTACGTACTCTCAGATATTGTACTTCAATGCTGAAAACCAAAATCAAATGCTGAAAATCTGAACATTTACCTGTATGAAACATTCTTCTCAACCAGAAACCTCCACCATTATGTATAAAATGTCATTTAGTTGTACTTCTGTGCAATCTAAATTTAAATCACTTGAAACTTAGGATAGAACTCCTTTCAGTGTAGTATTTTCTACGATGATTGTTCAAAGAAAACTTGATAACTGAATAATTGAAGTAACAATTAACTTTTAAACAGTAAAGTGTGTCTAAGAGTTATCGATTACTGATAGCTGGGCCCTCTTTTGCCCTAGGCTTGTACCTCTGCATCAGCCTGGCCTTACGCCTTCTCTTCTTTGCAAGCCACATCTTGACAGGTTTGGTGAAGTCAAATGCTTCAAGCTCTTTCTTACACATGTGTATAGTTATCAGTGTTTCAACACTTTCTGTCTCTTTTGCCTGTTCTGTAAGCTAAAGCTTCTCTCACACTCCACACTTTTAACACTAAAGCAAAGTGCAATTTTGCACAACTTAGAGAATTCTGGAAGCAAATCATTGTGACCAGTTATCACTCTAAGGCATAGTATCTATGTTGACAACTCTTTTTAAGCTCCTGCTATCATCCCTTTCAGAACCGGCCACTCCTGCTCTAGTATACCCCTATCCAACAGACTGTCAACATGTGTATCCATGAACCAGATTACTTATTCCTAGCTTTGTTTGTTTGGCTGTACAGTAAAAGTCTGAAACACATTCCAGGGCTTCTTCTGCTTCTTTTGCTGAAACACTGTTAGTTGTGATTGGTTCAAGAAGAATATCACTGCCTTTCTTACAAAACATGTGCCTGATATTCTTCTTCAGAGAATTCAGGTAGATGTCTCTCAAGCTCTGAAACTCTTGGTCAATATTTGGACTATATTTTCTCAACTTCTCATCTTTGAACCTGACCTCATTGTCATTAATCTCTATGTCTGCTTTGATTTTGCTCAGACTTTCCCCATCCTTTTCCTGAATAGATTCCAACTTTGAGATGGTCCCATCCATCAAAGGCTGAATCTCACTGAACAGCAAAGTGTTCGTCTGCAGCTGGCAATTCAACATAGCAATGGTATTGTGGATGTCTAACAGCAACCCTACAAGCAAAATGGTCTTGTATTGAGAGAAGTATTTGAATAACCCATATGCCAATGAATTCCCCTCTGCTGCAAAATATGACAATGTACTCAAGACTGACTTATAGCTCTCAAATACTGCTACAATACGAATTCTAAAACTGGCTTCGTGTTTCTTTATTTTCTAGGCATTCATTTTGGCAATGCTGGTTGTCTCCTGTTGCTTTGAGAAAGTAGACGACAAACTATACCTCTTACCGTCACTTCCTCATTACAGCTGCAAAGGTAAGTAAACAAGTAAAATACAGGAATGGCAGAGAATATTGGTTTTACAGCTACAGTGATTTTGTTGATATTAACATGATACTGAATCATTTGTTGTCTATAAGAAGACCTGCTTTTGGACTGTATATGAATATTTTTTTCGTGTGAATTCTGTAGAAAAAGATAGACATCTTAAATATCTTTTCAGTGCCCTGCATGCCGTGTTTGTGAACAAGTTCTTCAGCTTTTCAGGGTGCTGCATGCCACGTTCGTGAACTAGTTCCTCATCTTTTCATGACCCTGCATGCTACGTTCGTGAACTAGTTCTTCAGCTTTTCAGGGTGCTGCATGCCACGTTCGTGAACTAGTTCTTCAACTTTTCATGACCCTGCATGCCACGTTCGTGAACTAGTTCTTCAACTTTTCATGACCCTGCATGCCATGTTCGTGAACTAGTTCTTCAACTTTTCATGACCCTGCATGCCACGTTCGTGAACTAGTTCTTCAACTTTTCAGTGCCCTGCATGCCATGTTCGTGAACTAGTTCTTAAGCTTTTCAACGCCTGGCCCGTCACGTTTTCTATACTAGCTGTTCAGCTTTTTTAAGGCTGTATGCCACGTTTTTTTTATCTTCCTTAGTCGCCCCTAAGATATCACAATTTTCCGTTTAACATTCCTATTGAAATGCAGATGGCCAGAACAGCTGTTCGATATAGTGTCATTCCTTATTTGGCGTTTTCTTATCTAACTTCAAATTTGTATTCAAATATGCTTTTATCATGTGAGTCTTTAAGTGACACATACTCAAAGTGAATATTTTTTAATCAATTTCCATGCCGATTTCAAACGAATCTAATCTACACAGAATGGCATGTATTTCAATATCTTCCAATTATGTATCCATGAAGATATCATTTAATTTAGAGGTAGCTGTACAATTTTAAAACAAAATTGTTTTCCGTAGGGAAACATTCAACTCCGGCAGTAGAGAACCCTTGTAATAAGCCAATGGACAAGCAACAGCGGCGACGACGAAGGCAGCTTCAACTTAAAAGTAAAGCATACGGCGTTCTGAAGGGATGGACAATCCTGGTACTTTACCTGTGTGTTGTACTGACAATAACCTCACATCAGAAGATTAATGAGAGGTATCTACGAAACACCTATATCTCCACCATCTTACGACCTTCACAAGGGGTAACAGGATTTTTGGCACGAGATTATTGCATAGCCATAGCTAAAATATTCTAGAGAAAAATTACTTATAAAATTTACAGTTCACGATTTCCAGTTGTAGCTACTTATCGTTTTCACAGCATCAGATCTTTCAAAACGAAAATCTCACTATAGACAATATAACAAGAGATCACTAAAGAACGATAAAAAATGGTTATCTGTTATCGGGATCTTAAGCCAAACTTCAAATTCAATGGGAAAAATTTGAAAAAAAGGAAAATTTATGTGGAGACTCCTGGAACAGTAAAAGGATAATAAGACCTGGTGTTCCGTACTCTGCTTCATCGACGACGCCCGCCATGTAAGCATTGGTCAATCCAAGTAAGTCACTTTCTCAGTTGAGAGCTAATATGCAACAACGGACCACAAACAGGCAAACTAACGGGGATCAACCACGTCCAGCTTCATATCGAACAAATTGAATATTGAAACCCTGTGTTGTGAAAAGTGTGATAATTGTGATAAAGGGAACAGGTCGTTGAATATCAAATAAGCTAAGATATGTACACATCAAAGGTTGGGGACACAGGTAAATATATATAATGTTTTGTCAGCAATTAACACAATGAAAACAAGAGGTTTTTATGAAACACTATACCTCAGGTTGCAACAAAATTCTGAAGTGAGATATTAAAACTGTACTGTGTAAAACTTGTGCTATTTGCATGCACATTTTTGCTTTCATTGTGATGATTTACTGATTGTTTTTACTTTCAAATGTATGTCAAAGGTCATGTAGGACAAAGATCATGTAGGTCAAAGATCACATGGTCAAAAAGGTTTCGTCACAAGGAATACACATGCCAACAATGAAAGCCATAACTCCGATTATGCAATAGTTGTGGCCAATGTTCATTTTCATCAAATGTAAGGTCACGGTCAAGGTCACATGGTTAACACTTTTGGTACCACCGGTAAGGTATTATCACTAGGACACACATGTCAAATATGAAAGCCCTAACTCTTATGGTTCAAAAGTTATGGGCAAGGTTAATGTTGACAACATACAAACAGACAGTACAAAACAAATATGCCCGCAACTGCACACCCGAGGGCATTCAGGTAGGAAAATGATTGCTGATAGCAGAGTTAAAGATATATTGGCCTGTTCTAGTAGTTCTTTGCTACATTCAAGGGTATCTGATATTTGTTTTTTTATATCTCGGATCACAACTGTTGAAGACATATGGTCAGATTTAGAGAATGCGATATTGGCTAAACTGTTTCCCGTTGCGTATAATAATGGAGAAATGATACCTTACCAGTCACAGAGATTTGTAGGCCAATTTACAGGCTAGGTCCAATACGACTTCGCCAGACCAGAGTTACAGGTACTGTGTAAAAACTATGAGAACATTAACACGACGCCGAAACTGACAAACGAGCATTTACATGATACCAGGCATGATTAATCAATTTAAAGATTCATTCAGTTAAAATCCTCGTCTGGTTTTTCACATTTATTTCTAATTTAGGATTTTCACTGGTTGATTTCTAGATTTCAACAATGTAGGTCCCTAACATCGAATCCTAAAAGACAACCAAGCGGTAGGATGCAGTTTCATTATTACTGTAATACATGTGTATCACTGGAGATAATTTCAAAACTCAGTTAAAGGATGTATCAACTCTGCTGACTTTTTGTTTGTAACTTGTTGGAATACGTACATGTGTTGAATTACAAAAATTTAAGTTTATCTTTTTAATATCAGTTCTCTCGCATGATAAAGGGTTAACTTTTGCTTTTTCCTATTTTTAAAAGAAATATATGTGACCTTTTTAGAAAATATTTAATAGTTATTTTTCCCAACTTCAAAGATGCCAAATTATCCGCATTACAAGTTATCAACCCTTCTGTATATTGAGAAGGTATACGTCCTTGTCTATTATGTTTCATATTACAAAACGCAAATTCTACATGTTTGGAATATTTATGTTGACGTAAGGCTGGACGTGTTTGATGCTCGTTAGTTTGCCTGTTGGCTCCATTGTTGTATACCTTGTTCTAATTTGAGAACGTGTCATTACTTACTTACTTACTTTGATAAATGTTTACATTACGGGTGTCGTCGATGAAGCAGAAGACGCTTACTCTTCCATAACACCTCGTCTTATTCTCCAATTTCATTACTGGTATGATTATAACACAAATAATGAACTAGATTCAGATTTTAATTTTAAGTTTTATTTCGGTAAAATGACTTTGAATGTCACGTAAATATCAGTGCCTGTGTGACAATGGTCTGTAGTTCTGTAACGTTTTCGCAACGTGAACGTGAACAAGTAAAACGAAAATTGAAGTACCAATTTATAGTCATGAACAATTCGATTTGTTAGAAGATAATTCGTTCTGTTTGAATATATTGTTGTTTATAAAGCCAGCTCTCTTATATCTAATGCATTACTAAATATGTGTGTCGGTAATATTGTATATTGTGCTGGCGTTAACACTTAAGCGTGTCGATGAGTCCGATGTTCACGGTTTCCTCTCCCAATTGTTCACCTCGTGCGTCTGCACAGAAACAAACGCTTCCGGTGCATTGAATTTGATCAAAGCTTCCAATGTCAGTACAACGAAAAATCTTTCCGACCATTTGTAGCTGCGAATGCTCGTGTTGTTGACGTTTACAGGCTGCAAAAAATAAAGATAAACAAATGTAATGAAGTAATGGGTACCATTAACGCATTCTTATAGTTTTTATATAATAGATAAAAGCATCAAGAAAATACCAGCATGGCAACATAATCATAATTCAAACTCAAATTCCATAAAACCAGGGCAAAATATGACCAAAAGAAAAATTTTAACAGAGACTGCTGCAAAAAGTACAAGTAGAATAAGACCAGGTATTCCGGAAGAGTAAGTGTCATCTTCTTCATTGACGACACTCGCTATGTCAACGTTCGTTTATAAATATTTATATGTTTGTAAATATTGATTTTTTAAAAAAAATTATTTTTTAAGCCCCATTTATGCCCAAATTGTCACTCAAAAGCAATATCACTGATTTCATAAATTTACAATACTTAAAACTGATTACCAACACTGATGCATACATGTACTTAAAACAGTATACCATACGAATATAACATCATTTTACACTGTATAAGTGTAAATCCGATCTCACAGCACCGAGTGATTCATGTGACACTCGTTCGTTTACCTAAAAAATTTGTCTTTCAAAATCACATATGGTACGTAGTTTGTTCCGTAAATCTTCCGTCTTATTTATAACTGTGCTCTCTTAAAAATACATCGCCGAATTATTAAGTTCCATGTAAGAGATACATGTAAATTAACTTAAAGTCATGAAAAACAGCAAGCGTGGCACTGTAATATGTTCATTCAGATGAATTGTTATCAGTAATTATAGTAAAAAGTGAGCTTTGCTCTAAGATGGCGAAGCGTTTAAGGTAAACGTCAATACTTTTGTCTGTCATATGTTATATTACGGTCACCATTCTTTGGATTAATCATATTGACAACACTATGATTAATTAATCTCACGGTTTTCTATGCGTACAAGCTATGCTGTTTTCAGTTAAGATCTCCTTCGTCAAACGCGTGTGAAAATACCAATATCACTTACTTTAACACCTTAAGACATCGTACTTCAATGCAAAAAGAAAACACATATGTAAATCATCGTAATCATGTACTTACAACAGTCAGTATCAACGGCTTGGGCTTCCGAGAAATCTGTCTTTGTCAAGATAGTTCCATCAGCAGCGACACATCGACAGCTGAAACAGACGCGATATACAAATATATATTAACTGTTACTGCAGCCGACATCTCCAACGTCCCCACTAGTCCAAATACATCAGATTTACATAACTACACAAAGGAGAATCATCAGCAATGAGCTACCTGTAGGATGCAAGCGTCTCGTCCGTTACGTACTAACTAAACGTTTCAAATGACAGACCTTGAGTACAACAAAAGAATACCGGTGTTACGCGGATATCTCCCGAAAACAAATTGCGTGTAATTAAGTATTTTGGATACTGACAATATTGTGGAATGTAAACTTGCATCAATCTTACCTTAAATGGTAATTTAAGTATTTTCAAACCTACATGTAGTTATAAAGTCGATCATTTCCGTTTGGTCTCTTCAGTATAGATAAAGGAATTGCACAGTTAGGATATTATACTCCACACAAACTTTATCGTACATGAATCATGCTTACTGTCTGTGTTGGGGGTCAAAAGAAACTCGGACAAATCCGCTGTGCTCTTTTTGTATGTTCACATCGCGGAGTTGATTATCAGAATTTATCAAAACCAAGAAGAAATGGAAAAGTTCTGCTTGACTTGACCAAGTTGTCTCCCCTAAGCATTGATCTTTAATTACCATCAGACTCAGCGAACTACAGTTAAAATACTAGAATCTAATTTTGTAGGCTGATATTGTATCTCTTATAGAAAGATTTCTGTATATCTTAAATATCACCTGTCAATCCTCAGAATTAGATATAGTCAAATGTGGTATCTGTCAATGAGAATACCAGATAGGTAAAGGGACATAACTCTCTATATGAAATGTTGAACTCTTAAGTTTTTTTTAAGTAAAAACAAAAGTTGTTGAGTGTAATGGAACACATGTGTTGACTGGTGGTTTTACAACAAGACTAAATCATGTTCAATCCGGAGATGAGCCCAACACATTTAAAGCACGATAGATGCTACACCAAACGTTAAATAAAATCTTACGGTGCGGTCCTTCCAAGACCACTGCTGTTAGGTGCGTGAATAATTTTCGATCGTTTTCATCGAAGTAGCTCGCCATAATTGTTGTTTCAACGTGTATTAGATTGAAAAAGCTATCTGAACTTATTTCTTTATTAACATTTTCATTCTTCAGTCTACAGATATAAACGAACATATTATTTAGTTTGCCTACTACGGCAATACTGTATAAGTTATATAGAGATACTTACTGGCCGTACATACACTGGCGAGGAGCGTAAGTGCCATCCTCTAGACATTGAGGTTTGGTTGTTCCGGACGGCCGGACACCTGTTTCCTCCCAAACCTGGTTCTCCAGTTCCTCGATGTAATCATACTCCCTCTGACATGCTTCTGTAGTCTCCTCTGACTCCGGGACGTCTGTCACAGCTATTGGTGCTGGAAATATGCGAACACGTGACATGTATTATACATTTCATAACTTTTTCACAATAATACCAATTAAAACCGGCAAAGAGTTCGCCACAATATATCATAATACTATAATTCAAAAGAAAAACCGGTACCTTCGGTTCCGGAATCTGAATCATCAGCAAAGACGACTCCGATTACGATCATCAGAACTATAATAATACCCTTCATTGTACTTTATATTCTGGTTTGCCTGTTCTATTGAGGTTGTACAATTAATTGGCTGATGAGACTGAAGTGGTGTCCTTAAATACTGACCACTCAGATGGGTAACATCCCTGTTCGACAGGCTGATAAATTACTGACCATGGATGTGTCGCGTGAATAGCGGGGAATGTAGAGGTTTTAAAACAATAAATATCACACTATCGTGTAAATGTTAAATGTCGCAGATAAGTAATGATTTATTATATTCACACATTTCAAAGTGACGTTGAAGGGATACTTCATTTCTGTTTCGTAAATCCTGCCATTATGATTGGACCAGCAAAATAAAGTTATATACAAATGTATATATAATATCACATACTCACTCCGATTCACCAAACGTAGCTTAGGTAGATATGCAAAAAAATATTTTGATATTGGAAAACAAAGTTTATAGAATATATATATAACACATTGTAATCACATTCAAATCCTGAAGCATGCATGATAAACGTGGTGCCCTAGAAACTACTTCAATTAATAAACACCATTCATGCAAGGTATGAAAACTTTTATTCAATAAAGTTTTTTTTTTCTTTTCGTATTAAAAGTTACGAATCATATATAAATTGTGCCGTAGTAATGTTTCTCGCCTTGGCAAAGAGAAAGTAGGTAATGTAGTCGCGGTTTGGAACTCTTTTGAAATGAAGGCGTTATAAGACGTTTTATGTGGGCAACAATTTAAAAATTGCCATTAATCATGTTTTGATTTTGGCTGGAAACGATGATGATCCCTCCTCAAGGAATATTTTCGATCACCAAAGCGTGTTTTTATTATTACATGTATTCTTGTTTTTTACAAGCTCACCGGCGTTAGATATTTAACCATCATTGTAATCTTAAAAGTTTGGAATCAGTTTAATCACTTGGATATTTACAATAATAACAACATTTATTCAACGAACAAGAAACATAAATACATAATAGAGATGTTGGCAAAATATATCCTGAATGAATAATAGTATATTCTGGTAATACTGATTCACTCACCATCAGTAAATTAACAATATTCATTGTAAATGAAATGTTCATTGAAGGGAGATAACTCCAGATGGCATGGATTGTACCTCGTAGAAAGCTCACACACAAACACACACACCCATCCCCCACCCTCCCCGCAATAAAAATATTATTATTATTATATAAATATTTTATTTAATTGAAATCTCATTGTCATTTCAACTTTACCATCTTAATTCATTGAGATACTTTTTTTCTTATTAATATTAATTATATTATGAATATTTGTAGAAGTGGACATGTTTGATTTATCTTCTTTTAGAGAGGTATTCTATTGTCACATTTCTGTCCCTAAAATCTCACGGTGTATGACGAGAGTTTTTTTTTCTCCGACGCGCAGAATCCGATAAAGGACCAATTCATGCACATCCGCCATACCTCCTACAAGATATATCGCCAGGTGTCACAATATTGACGCACTACAATCTATGTTCGCTTTCCATATGTTATGCTAGCTCGTGTGTCGAAATCATCCGTTACACCAGGAGCGATCTGTGTTTCCCCAGGCACATTGTTATTTGTAGATGTTCTGATTTTAAACCTGTAATGGTCAGTCTTGCCCGAGGTATTTCCACATCTGTGATGACCATGCCCGGACGTAGATATCAATACAAACCCTTGATGTTTGTGGACAGGTTACTATCAATTGCATGAAAACGTTGTATTTCTTTTAGCTGCATTAGGCAATCCTCAAACCGATCGTACAGATAAAACCAAAATGCGTCCCAGATGCTTTAACTGACTGATTAACTGGGTCACACTTGTTTGTTGTTTTTCTTCTTATTATTATCATAATTATTATATTTTTTGTACTTTTTTTTATTAAGTTATTAACTTCTTATATATTCGCTCGTTGAAGACCATTCTTGCCTTTTAATTCCATCGTTACATTCTGTCTGATCATAACTCTTCTATGTCCGATCAACAGAACGATGCGAATGATAAAACCAATATTCAAAATTTAAACAGTTTATCAAAATATCACGTTTCAAGTGTAACTAATTTATAGGATTACAGAAAGGATTCACATCATTGTCGGAAACCAAAGCACCACAGCGAGACTTTGGCAAATAATTCACAAATTCATTTAATTGTCTCTTAAAATACTGTATTTGTTACACCATTTTAATGTTTAAAAAATTGTGTGACGTGACTGAAAAGAATATGGTTCCTGTTAGCTCTTCATTGTCTTTTTTCACCTGTTGCTGGCAACGTCGTACTTCACAATTAAACGTCTTAGTCAACAGTAGACAATAACTAGTACTAAACCATTGTCGATTGTGTGTAAAGACTCACACCGCTAAAGAAGTATGTTAAAAAGACCAAAAAAATGTAACTTACTGAAACTAAAGTCGGAGGGAATTACTCTTAAACGAATGGTTTACTTGTGATATACAGACATCATGCCTTTTTAGGACTACAATGGTACATTGTATCTAAATTGCGCATGTATTATCTAATATACGCTGTTACATATGTCACACGTATGTCCATTTAGTTAATGGATTTACACCTCGTGCTGCACTGACCAACGCAATCTGTTGCCACTTGTCTAGTATTTAAGGTAACATCAGTGTGGACACTGCATTATAAAAAAAGTGTAGTTCGTGCCTCACTATCCTAGACAAAAACATCGACCATAATATTCAGTGTAGCAGACAAAATGAAGATTGCCTTTCTCACCCTCCTCGTTGTTTTTGGAATTACCTATGCTGATGACACAGTTTCGGATTCCGGAGATGAAGGTAAGTTTTTCTGTAATTTAGCTTGAATGTATAACATCAATATAACCGGATGAATAATTTTGCATTAAAAACTAAAGTTTATATATCAATGAACTATCATAATACTGTCATAACAGTAGGCTTATCAGTCAGTGTTACAGTGCCAAGGAATCGTACTTAGTGTATTAATCTAAGTAAATGCATTTTGTCTATCGTACAAATGATATTACAGCACCAATAGAGACTATCAATAACAAGCGGAAGTTACTAGTTATGTAGCTGGTCAGTTTATCAGTTGGTTTTTCCTTAAGGCCGGTAGAGGAACACGTCGTTAAGTTTCAGAAGTGACGTAAAATATTTATATTTTTTCATTAAGAAGATAGAAAAAACATGATGTTCGCAATATTTTTTTAATATGTTGGCAAATACAAGCGTTATATACTGTACGTCTACGTCACATTAAACAATAAGCATACATACAGAAGATTTGTTTACAAACTGTATAAAACATTATGTAACCTACATGCCTATTGGTAGGATTTTGCCGATCTGATGAAGATAATACCGTGTTACATTAAACCGATATATGTTCCTTCTAAAATATCAAAGTTTCAAACACTGTCGTTTTGAAGTACTTTTATAATCAGCGTACTTTATAACAAATAACTATTTTTTTTTAAATGTATATCCGATAATAAATTGATTCGTATTGAATATAACAGTCGATTCCATGCCTTGTCAAGACGAAATGGACGAGATTGAAGCAGAGATATCGGAAATTATAGAACAGACCGGATCTTATCCTATTGGGGCTCTCAAACCTCAGTGTCTGGAGGACGGTACATACGCCCCCCGTCAGTGTCGGGGTTCCGTGTAAGTATACATGAAGTGCTCAAACACAAGACGCCCTCATCCTTCTCATTCATTCAACTTGATTAGAATATTCGTCTCTAATCCTTATCAAAGGGACAATTTATCCTATGTACTCGTAAGATACTTCTACAAATCATTGTCTGAAATCAAGATGAATACAAAAACAAAAACAGAAAACAAAAAAATGTGTAACAGTAGCTTTTAAACAGATAAACTGGATTAAATTTAAAAAAGAAAAGATTGAAACGCTCAAATTTGAAAACGGTCCGGAAAAATTTGCTAGGTTTTTTCAAATTTTAAACGATACTGGTCATTGAATTCAGATCGCTCCAAGTATTTTGATACTAGCCATTGCTAACACTCAGTAATTTATCTAGGGAACTCCGGTGCCCCAAAGGTATGGTATCATTCGTTGTTCGGATACCCTAATGTACACCAATGTGTTGTGGTTTAGAATACGCATGTTTATACAAATATAATAAAGCGTTACGGATTAAAGTTAAAATAATATTTTCTAAATTTACCGCTATATTATTGTGACATACCGGAAGTGAACAGTCTTCTTTATTTCCAGCTGTAACTGTGTAACTGCTAACGGAACCAAACTTACCGAGGACTTCAGCATCGGTCAAGCCGTTAATACCGATTGTTGTAAGTTTTTTATATATATATATTTATATTAGCTGATTATTCAGACAAAGTTTGACCAAACATTCTGAACAAGCATAACATATTGTCTAACTCGTAAAGTCACATTTTAAACATTACAAAAATTATCTCCTTTAAACATGTTTGCGTTTTCGATAGAGTTATTAATAAGCTACTGTTGGCAAATAAATCGAAATCAATTCGATTTCGGTAACCCTCACTGACTTTAATGTTTTCACTTCGGGAGTTCCTTTTTTTCCCCTTAAGAATCACGTGACTCAATTTGTTATTTTCAGCTTGTGCACGGGATCAGCATGAGTATATGGAGTTGAATATTGTTGGCAAAACTTTCAGCTGTACTGACATCGGAAGTTACGCGCCTGTTCAGTGTACCGGAAGTGTGTGTTACTGTAGTGACAGTCACGGGGAACAACTTGGTCAGGAAAAAGTCAATATCGATTTAATTGACACCCTAACATGCAGTTGAGTATTTAATAAAACAAAAGTATGATATTTGAAGTCCTGTTGTATTTCATGCAGTGTATTTGTTTGGAATCAGTCGTTGAACACTACGAGTTGTGTCTGTATACTTATCGTCCTTTTAATAATCATAAAAAGATGAAAGATGATGATTTTGCAGGGGTTTTAAGGTCATCATAATAACCTGATTGTGAAATAGTCTATTTCTTTGTGCAACACGACATTGGACGTGTTCGATGCTCGCTAGTACGGCCCGTCAGCCCGTTATTTACTCGCAGACAAAACACAGCAGTGATGCAAACGTTTATAAGCTGTTGACATATCTTTGGGTCAAAGGTCATGTACATATAACCATAAACTACAGCTGATCAGTATTGTTAAAGACGAACAGTAATAGTCATTACAATGTTTTCGGAAACAACTTCCAAATAAAACGTAGCTGTAAAGAGAATCTGATATCAGCGTTACACTGATGTTAGTTAAATTGCTGAAGGTACGAATTGTAATGAAATACGAGAGCTATTTTTTCTTTATCATAATTCATGGTGTAGATTGTCCAAGAATGTACCACGATAAAATTAGATATGTAATGTTATCTGTCTGATGGGAATCCCATAGATATAGGAAGAAAAGATGTAATGACTGTTTAAAGTGTTTAGAAGAACCCCTATTCTTTTGTCAATTAGTGATAATAAGTGATGTTATCAAGTTGATGATAGTAAACCATTTATATTCTCGTGGCTATAATTGTACACTTTTCACATCTTATAACCCTCTTTATAATACAGAACAGGCAACTTGTCGAATCTCTCGAAATACATCTCAAAAGTGACAAACTTTCTTCATTATTCAACTAATTTCACGTCTTCAATAATCTTAAATTCAAATTTTAAATTTCATAAGAACGTCAAGAACAGGGTAATATTTCAAATATTTTACCAATGCAATTAAATCAAAGTCCGGCATTTGAGGTTATAAGTGGCTAACTACATCTAGTGACAGATAATTAAACAGGGTTATAAAGTTATCAGGTTATTTTCACCGATGTAAAACAATGGTTATAACTGGGTGATGATGAGTCTTTTACGTCGCTTATCCCGACTGTTAAAGCGACATAAAAGTAAAAAAAAAAACAAAAACAAAATACCGACATTCTAATAATAGCGTGGGCTTTCGTACCAGGAGATGGAAGATTCCGTGGTTGTCAAAGATGGTCTTTTGTCCCACACAGGAACAGGTCTTGATTCGAGATTGGAAATGTGTGATGTCGTTACATATATGCAGTGTTAACCGTCTTTTAGCCATTTTTTTAAAATTCAAAACAAAATTTGTTTCCCTTTAAGCATGTGTTGTAAATAGTCAATATTGTGGTTAGATATACAAACCATCACATCTTGACCACTGTGATTCAGACAAGAATTACATAGGCTTCCAGACTGCTGTCCAATCCAGTTCATACGTTTATAGATATAAACTGTTGAAATGAAATTCATTTACTTAATTTTCGCATGTTTGCTTCCATATTCTTAATATTATTAGTTGAACTTCTTTGCTCATTTTATTTGTCGTAATTTCCAACTTACTATATGTTTTCCCATTTGCAAGGTTTAATTGCTCATTAGCACAATGACAAAAAAGAAGAAAAAAAAAAACAAACAAAAATTACAGTAGGGTCGTCAATGAACGCGATTTTATTTTTTTTTCTCTTACAATTGATAGATCAGTACATCTTCATACCGAAAGATCGTGCGATTTGTGAGTTGGGTTTGAGTTGTATAATGGTACCATATATTCATGTGTACCTTCTTCAGGAGTTACTATATGTTAATGGTTAAATGTGCAAGTCCTAATCTAATGTCAACTGTTGATTTGTCACATTCCCAGAAAGTATGCTCTGTTGTTTCAGTTTCATGGAAATTTTATGTTCTTTGTTTTTGCTGTTTTACCGAAATAATTTTTGATCTAGATTTGGAAGAGCTCTAAATAGATGGTTTAATTTGTGATATCATAAGTGATATTATTATATAAACACTTCAAACAGGAGTCCAAGACTTTATACAAAATGGCTTTAAAGTTTTTCTTATCGAAGTTAAATCTTCAAAAGGAACCAAGACATTCTAAAGCAAGCGTATAAACTCAAGAGCGCGAAACATTTATATAGTGTTGATGGAAAACTGTTTGTTTTTTGGAAAACTCGGATATGACACTGAATTATCGGACGAGTATCTAGCAGATGACAAAAACGTCAGATTTGGTAATGTTTGATATTAGTGAATGTATTCATAATGGGATTTTGAATATGTTGTGCAGTACAGGAAAACATTCAAAACAAGGACGCATCTCAATTTTGGCTTCTCAAACTTCTGTATTTTTCAAACTTCTTCACGACAAAGATTACATAACATAAGAAACCAATCATCCGGAAAAAGTAAATTATAATTAAATGAAAAAGGATACGGAATGAAATATCCGGAATTAACATGGAAAGGGAAATAACTCTTAAGGTACAATTAAACAAAGTATTTTAATATATATTTAGCAAATTAACCATCTCATATAGTCTGTATATAACATTTTATTTTATTTTCTAAGTGATCGATAGCAGACACAGGTATGCTGTAGTAATGCCAAGTAAAGATGAATCTCATAAACGATAGCTGTGTCCGAATACTGGAAGTCTAATGTGGACTTCAGATGCAGCTACGTATTTGCGAATGTCCATTCGTGTCTAAAATGTAACTCTGTTTCGGCTTAAATTTCTTTGCAATAATCTTCCCAAATAATAAGTAATAAGGCTACCTGCATCTTAAGCTTGAACATAAGGATACCGGTGACAATATATTAGAACCATTTTTTGGTTGTGTAGTTGAAATTTGTTTTACAAATACAAGTGACAATAATATCTGGTGTCTTAATGACTTAATGGCAGATCTATATTACAATTATAGTTCGTGATGAAATGGATTAAATTCCAGTCTACAGGTTCTTCACCTGCAGCAAAAATGTTAGTTATTTGATTACAACACTAAGCTGATTTGCTAAAAGACTGAATAGTGATATTTTAGGTGGAGTTGTTGATCGTGAATACTGACAAAATGTTTGCATATATATTTAGATATATATACTGAGGGTAAAGCACTTATCAAAGTTGTACAACTTCCTTAACTTTTATTGCTTAACTAAATACATAGGTAGGGTGGTTCCAGTAATACAAAATAAAAAGAAGAAATATTTTCACTGGTTTATTTCATCAGGTATGCATCCTTGATTTCCTTGTAAAGGTCTGGAGGAATGATATCATCACGGCTAGATCACCCTTACACTTTGTTCAATGATTATGATGTGATGTACAATCTTTTTGCTCCTAGACAGAACTAAGCATATAGTGTAACATGTACATATTTTTATTTGCATCAAAAATGGTATTTTTGTCCTTACTCAATTTAACATTCCTTTTGCAACCAAAATTGCACCTGAACTATGTAAATGTTGAGCTAAATGTTGAAAAGTGTACATTTCTTTCCTTGTACATTGGTTAAACTATATTGCAAATGCAAAGTTGAAATCATCTGTTTTGAACAAGAGAGGGAATTTGGCACCCAACATTGAATGATCTTTATATATGACACTGATCATTGTTATAATTTTCTACTTTGATCTGAAACATCTCCAGTACTTCAGAAGATATAGCAATAACAAGGATAGTTTACTTAATGATGGCCACATTCACAACTAAACCAAGCAATCCTTCGTGAATGTGGAAGGGCCAAACATCCATTCGTTTGTTCAAAGGTAGGTTATAATCACCTGTCAGTGTTACTTTTGCCATACATCTACACTTTGTATATAAACTTACAATGTACATTGCACAAAATATATTAGAACAGCTACATGTGCACATCAAATATATGGATGGATAAAACAAAACATTTTTTTTTAATCCGATGTGAGCCTTCTAGGCTCATGAGTAGTGTACATAGTAGTTGTCGGGTCAATCTTTATGTAATGGTCAGTTTGAAAAAAAAGTTCCTGGTGACAATATTGATGCATTCTGACATTAGTGATAACTGTCCTAATAATTTATATATGCCATGACCAACTTCAAAATTATCAAAAATGTTTAAATATTGATTTCAAAAAATGTTTTAAAGTCATCACTAAATTTCAAGAAAAAATAGGATTTTCCTTAAAACTGAATTTTATTTTGTAGCATTTTGTTGATGTGAAGCTGTCAGAAGCATATCCAAATCCGAAGTCTGCACTTTGATATAAGAATACTCCATGCAGAAAAAGACCCCTTCCCAAAACTGATGCATGAAAAATCATTAAACAAAAAGGAATTCTGGATGAGACAGACACATAAATTTTAATTGTTTTATATATTTTTTTCATTTTCAGTTTATTTCCTTGCAACAGATCTAATATCCCTATTGTGAACAAGATACATTACAATAAATTCATACAATAAACATTTAGTAATTAAGCTTTTTCCTGTGAACTTCAACGAGTCCTCTGCAATCAATACAAATCCACCTTACTTTTACTTTTATCAGTTCAAAGATATACAGTCATGTTAAAAACTAATAATTACACAAGCTTATCATTGTGATTGCCAAAGTTGATGTTACCGTTCAGGACTCGAACCTAGACAAACACAGAATGCACTACACAGTGATCCATGTATCACCAAGGAATTGACTTGCTTGTTTTGATGTCAACACAAGAACTTTATGTATATTTTTCTTCTACCTAATTTACATTATCAAGTCAGAGAATGTTAGACAACCTGTGCAAGAATCAGACTTACTGACAGACAACAGTTTGTCATTCAAAGGTGAGGTAACATCATGATGCTGCATTTACATTGGACGTGGCAAAATATGGTTTAAAATGGTTAATGTAAAATGGGGTAAGTTTCCCAACCAGGGTTTTCCATGTTTCTCCATTTGAAGGATTCTTTCAATGTAGAAGTCCTGCTTTGTATATGTAACAAAGTCACAAAACTGG